AATGGGCCTTTCGAAGGGTCGACAACTAACCTATTGTAACTTGTCGAATGAAATTCCAAAGGCAACCGATCCAGCTAGTGTTATATAAATGAGCTTACGGAAATGCTAATGTTAAAGATTTTTTAATTAAAATTACGCTAAAGTTCTTTTGTTACTTACCAACTTAAAAATAATCGAGACAACATACTTATAAAATATTATTCTTTTAGAAACTTGCCTCGTATGTCCATTTATGTCGAAAATATAGTAACTTTATTGCTGTTGATTGCCATGACCCTTTAGATAGGTAAATCAAGTCCTTAGGGAAAATAAAGTGGAACGGCTGCTCGCGCTGGCATTTATTGGCACATTCTTGTTACTTTAATTATTATTTATGAATTTTGCTTAATTTAAATAAACTTTCCCCTTTTAGTGAACGGTCTTCATTGACTTTTGATGTGGTTTTAACCATCAAGGTAAAAATCAAGTAATCGTTAAATGGATGGATCAATTTTCATTATAGCTTTTTTAAATTTCTTTTCTAATAAAAGAAACTATGAAATGCCTTATCATCATCATCATCATTAACAGCCTATACTAGTCCACTGCTGGACATAGGCCTCTCCTTAGAAAGGAGGTTTTGGCCCACTATACCACGCTGGCCAGAAGGGTTGGTATAAGGTTTGTTTCAAGTTTTCCTTCTCTTTGCAGTGCTGTTGTCCTGCTTAGTTTGCTCCCTTAGTCGGCTCTTACGACACCCACGGGATGAATTGGGGTGGTGACAATTTGTATTCTTAATCCGTCACCACACGGACTTAAAATGCCTTAAAATGCTTTAAAATATAGGCACCTGGTAGTAGATGCCTACTGTAGCTCACTGCAGTAACAGAAAGAAAAGGTAAAAAAAGAGTTAGGCTCTAGAATATAGGAAATTCGAAATAAAATACCATATCGGTGAAGAAGTTGGAGATATACTAGGCAAAATTTATAAAAAAATTGTAATGATTATAAAAGGCATCAGATTAAAATAGCCTCAGTTTTTTATGTTTTTTTTTAACTTCATGTACAGAATCAGATTTTTATGTACATGAAAATCGGAATATGGTTTAGCAATAAACTGAAAATAGTTTTAGACAAACAATCGAACATGGAGAATCGGACACAGTTTAAGTGTTAGACATTATAAAATCTGTAACTGCCCTATTATAAACTCCACTATATTTTTATTTCCGGGCGTTATTAAAACTCGCCTTTTCATGAGAGTAAAACAGAATCAGGTAGAGTTACAGAACAGCCTTAGACAAAATAGGGTAACTAAACCTTATTTTGTCATATATATCTTAATCTCATAACATCTAACTGCGACATTAAAAATACAACCAATGTCAGGGCATCATTGACTATTATATTAGACAAGTTCAAACAGACCCGAAAAAAAGAGCATGAAAATAATTACATATCTAGTCTGTCCATGTACTGCCATCACCTCGATTTCTGTCATTTAGGATTGTAATGTGAATCTGGAGGAATATTAATTGGATAGTTCTATTTATTGGTCACCTGTCTCCCATTAATAATACTATGTGGCCCATCCATATTTCTGACTCTAGTTTGTTTTGCGGAAATTAACAAAGGGCCTTTTTGAAGAAGACTACCGTTCGTCAACGACAGAATAATGAAAAAGCCGCGTCCGTATTTGCCAAATTTATAATAATGTCAACGAATAGGAGTAACGAAGATTCTACTTTAGAACTTACTCCTACGAATACTTTACAAAATTATTAAAATTCAACATAAGTTAATCAAGGCCCTAAAATAAAATAAAACATCAATAATTCATCAAATACACATTTTTTTTACTCCTGAAATGCTGAAGTACATACTCATCATGTTTTTCATCGTTACCATAGCACAAGGAACATAAGTATCTCCTAAACACAAAGATTATATCTAAGATTATATAACAATTTTTTTTCTATTGACAGAATCATTTAAAAATCTATTTGATTTCAAGTTTTCAACTACAAAATTTGCTCTCGCGGATATTAAAATGTTGAATTGACTTCTCTAATTTTTTTACTATTAGTTCCCCGCAGTAAATATGCGTTTTTATTCACAAGCCTGTCTCTCATTCGTGAAAGGTTTCATACACAATTCATAAAAAAAGTGTTTTTTTTTCAATCTTTTTTTTTTTATTTTTAAAATAGATTAATTCTGCTGTAAGGGGCGGAGAAAAATCCGAAAAATCAAACATCATAAAAATTGGTCTAGCCGTTCTTGACTTATAACGAATGTAACGTAGATAATTTATTTATTTAGACGTAGATATTTATTAAGACTTTTCTTCTATTACCAACAAACCGGATTCTGGACCGTAATTTTTATTATTCTTGAAATGTAAAAAGAACTTATATCAATTAATAACGCTAGAATACCTGCACCTACTCATTTATGTACTATTAATGGTATTGGTATATTTCTCTCTCCAGACTCAGCAATACATTATTGAAGCTATAAGCGTCAATTTTCATGGTTTTTTTAAGTCTGTTTTAAACTATACCCATTTAAATCATAATTCAATTGTTTAAAACTATTCCGTATCCGTCCCGCCGGCGGCCGCTATAGAAAATGCCTAGAGAACCGTACAAACAACAAAACATTCAGATTGTTGGCAAAGAACCTTAAATTCTATTAAATAGTTTTCGACAAACGTTCGTATTCACACAAAAAAAACTTCTAGAATCGGATTAAACCGATTCCTAAACGTAATACAGATTATAAAAAAACGCGATTCAATCAATTAAAATAAAAAAATCCCTTAGCGTTTCCATACGGCTTTTTCAATTCATTTAAGCGATTTGATTATTTTATTTACAAAAAATCAATTTACAAACAACGAGGACCCATCTTTCATATAGATTTCATATTTACAAAATAAAACAGCCTGTGCTCTTTTCCACATTTCGTTTGTCTTTCAATTAATCAAAATACTTAGTTTTGTCTCCGGAAATTTCAATATGACAAAAGTATAATGAGCGAACACCGGCTAAACAATAGCAGAGCACGTTTCGTCGGCATGTGGGCCAGTGTTTAGCTCTAAGCACCCGCATACTACTCTTATCACAGTGATACGTGGCTCGACTTGTTAATGAGAGCGATCGATACACCGCACTTCTTATCAACACTCCAAACTTTAGTTATGAAACTGGTGTCCCCTCTATTTGTTTGCCCTTATGTCTGATACTATCTGATAGTCCCTTTATAAACCACCAAATATGTTTTATAATTGGTGATTTACGTCTTATTTAAAAAGATAGTTTTATCGGATAGTTTTATTTTGTTACTTTCAAAATTTATATTCGGATTATAAATGGTATGATTATGAAAAAAACACACATTAAGGTCTCTTTCCAATTTTTTTTTCCTAGAAAAATATATTTAATATACCACGACCACCTAAGCTTCAAAGAATAAATGAAAACAATTGTATCAGAGCAAAAATAAGAGTAATTGCAATTTCATATGTAATCGACAGAAAGTATAACTCCTACTATGTACCAAAAAATTCAGGCCCTAAAAACAATACTACGGCATTTTGTAAACTGCTTTTTTTACAGAAATATTCCAATAAAGTATTTTAAATATAACATAAACAACTTGGCTCTTACAATTTAGAGTAACGGTTGTTTTTTTTAATCTTCGAAATATCATGAATTTCAAGTAAAAGTATAACATTTTTTTTAAATAAACCGTAGTTTTCTAAAATATTTCAAATTACCGGGTTCTTTGTTCTTCCGGGTTGAACTGGTTCTTTTTTACCTAAAAGGCTAACATGGTATTCTTTAAAATCATTCTTGATTAAGTTTGGTTTTGGTTTTGTATGAGGATTATGTTACTTAATACTTTTCCCCGAAGTTTTTTCATTTTAATATTTGTCGATACTTTTTAACGAATTAATTTCCTTCGAATCAATCTTCTTCAAAGTTACTGTAATTTATTTTCCCGTTTCGTATTGTAGAACAACCATATTTTAAGAGAATTTGCCGCGAAAAAGGCAAGAAATTAAATATTTCAAGGCCTTCGGTGCTAATTAGCGCAAAAGACTGCTATCGGGGTGTTTATTAGCTGTTAATAGAATTGCGGAGCTCAGCAGGCGGGTGAAGGCCCCGTTTTGAGCTCGAACGCCCGGCGCTCGCCAACCTGTTGCCGACGGGACCGCCTTCCGCCCATTCGCCGCAGCTTTCCGGGTCCTATACTTCTAAGTTTTATACAAGTATCAAGCAGCCTGCAAAAATACTCACTTTTTTTTTACTTACCGACTTCTTGCGACACGATGACCCCAACAGCTTCTAGGACTCGTTCTTTTAATTTACACAAAAAGTAATGAACTACAGAACCAAGAAAATTGAATTTTAATTTTTATCTTTTTTGAAATAAATAACTCAAAATATAAAATCACTACAAACAAATCGTAAAAGAGAAATTAAATTTGTAATAAAAAATAAAGAAACGGAAAAAGAAATTTCGTTTAAGCGCGAGCGGCGGCAGAAGTCGAGTTAGAGTTGAAGTCGAAAAAGGTATTAGGAGAGCAGGATACTGGGAGAGCTGCCAGAGCAAGGCGCGTTGCCGCCGCCGCGGCTGACTACAGAATGGTAGCGGGCTGAACGGCATCGGGCCCCACCCCTAGCGCACGCGCGTTTCAGCATCCCCACCGCGCATGACTGACATCCTACCGAAAAGTGGAAAAGTGACTCCTCCAACATAGATATACCATTATGTACTAAATAAATATTGTATCGTAATAGATGCCGATCTCACTACATAATTTTGACCTAGTTGAATATTTTTTTACTTGATTTGGACAGCGTAATGTATAAAAATTTTAATAGTGAAATCTTCATCGAGACCTTGTTTCTCCGCCTTATATATTTCTAATGTACGCCCAGTTTACACATAGGTATCTCACTAGCAAGTGCGATTGAAAGGCCAACTAATGTTTCATCAAAAGGTTTTTTATTTTCTCAGATGTATTTTTTTTCATGAACTATTTGGTTGTAAATTTCTCTTATGCCGACAAAATATCCATTTCTCAGTGACGTTTCATATCCACGCGGCATTGATTGGAACTTGGACATTATAAGACTCTCCGATCCTAGAAAAACACGCATCTCGAATGTCAAAGGGATGCCTAAATCATAAGCGTAGTCAACACTATGACCGCAATGAGCTTTTCCTTCGGCCTCAAAAATGCTCGAATTAGTGAATAAATGAACACTTGCAGTTCTCTGATTTACCCTTGCACTAACATCGGCGGCAACTTTATTGAGATAGTTATGGTTTTGTGTCTGAGATCGTGTATAGGCGTAAGGATAATTGATGGAATGACCGTCGCGTTTTATCGACAAATACACTTGGGCATCTTTTTTGTGCTTGCTTAAAACGTTCTTGATAAACATTGTTTCATTTTCTGATGCAGCTTGCGGTCCAGGGTATATTTGTGAAAAGCCCCAATCGACTTTGGGACATGCTCCCCATTGGCTTTCGAAGTTGCGAGTTAAGTCTACACCAAAACTTGCATCGTCTTGTGATGGCTTCAGATTCTTTTTCCATGGTATTTTGCTCTATAAAATTGTTTCCAAATATTAATATTGCAGGTTGAAATTAATAATAATAAAATATTAATAAATAATAATAATTAAATTAATGATGCCTAAGTTTATTGTTAGAAAATATTTAATTGGTTACCAAAGACGAAACCAATATAAAACGATCACTCACTCACGATCATTGAAACTAAAGTATAAGTATATGTTGTGTTAATATCTTATTAACTTTTTTTATCAGGTAAGTGAATAGTGTCGCCCCCGTCTTATTAGAAATTCTTAAAATCGGGTGGAGCTTGGGGGTTGGTCTCCGGTAACTACACTCACTCGGTCAAAAGCAACGAAAGAAATGTTTAACACCGGTTTTCTGTGAGCTCATAGCTGTACCGTACCGTTATCACTAATAGGTCGCTTATTATATTTTTAATATTAAAATATAAAAATTCAACTCAAACAAATTTGAAATAGTAATCACACATCAATAACCTTTAATAGTCTACCTTGGAAATAGTAACAATCGAAATAATTTTATCGGGTTTCAATATATGTTTCTAGAAAAGATTACATTATTTGGTCAATTCTTTTAGATGTCAGCCACAGCGACTTGGCACTGGTTAATGAGAGCTTCGTTGATGTGCTCTTAGGTGACTGACATAACGTGTCGAACGTGCGTCCACATTCACTGCAAGTCAGATATCATTATAATGTATAGCTGCCGGTGGTCGGGCCTTGAGGTCATCCCGCTTGGCATCAAGCTCTTCTTTCCGTCGCTTTTCGAACTCGAGCACCTTAGTGCACAAAGTACGCCCCCACAGTGGCCTATCCGCCGCCACTGCCTCCCACTGCGACGGGTCAAGTTGGCAGCGCTTCATGTGACTTCAGCACATCTTTGTAGCGTAGGAATCGGACGCCTTGTTTGCGTTTGCCATCTTCTAGTTCTGAGTAGAAAATGCGCTTAGCCACTCTGTTGCCAGACAGCCGTGAGATGGCCGCTCCACCGCAACTGCCGCTGCATTAGGATATGCCTCTATTCCGCTAACATTTTCTCGTCGCAGAACTTTCGTGTTTCGCACACGGTTCGACTAGTGAATGTTCATAATGTCGCGTAGGTATTTCCGGTGGAATCTATCTAATGTGCGGATATGTTTGCGGTAAAGGCACTCCGTTTCGGAGCTTTACTGGAGACGATTGTCATGTATACAGCTATTTTCGTGGGGAGCTTTATGTCATGTGAACGGAACACCTTGAAGCGGAGTTTGCCAAAGGCTGCAGCGGCAGCTCCAATTCTGTTGTGGGTTTCGCTATCAAGGAGGCAGTTTGATGTTAAAGTGCTGCCCAGATATTCAAATTTCACCATGCAACAGTCGGATCATTCTTACAAATTTATCCGTGCATCCAAGCTTCTTCAGGACCACCCAGAGAGCCTCGCGAGACACGCTGTCAAAAGGTCAACAAAACATACATACAGAGGTTAAGCCTGTTCTCGACTTTTCTCTTGTAGCTAACAGACAAAGAAAATAGCCTCATACATGCCTCGGTTTGGTCGGAAGCCAAATTGGGTTTAGGCAGTATATTTTCAGATAATGGCATTAAATGGTTCAGTAGAATTCGAGCAAAGACTTTCCCCGGAGAAGTCAGAAGGGAGATACCCCTATAGGCATTGCAATCAGATCTATCGCCTTTGTTCTTGTATCAGAATTAAATACGAGAGACTCGAAAGTGGTCAGGTATTCGCTCTTCATCCCACATTTGGACGAACAGCTTCCAAATGGTTTTAATATTTAAGCAGTTCTCCAGGTTCGCTGTCAATGCCGACAGGTTTTTGGTTTTGCTGTTGTTGGATGGCATCGGTTACCTCGCGCATAGTCAGTGGGTCATCCAGCTTGTTGATCGTGGGAAATCTTGCAATCGAGCTAATGCGCGTGTTGTCCGCAGCACGGCCAACATAGAGCAAGGTATTAAAATGATCTGCCCATCTGTCGAGTACATTTTTCTTGCTAGTAAGCAATTGTCTGCAATTGAGAGATCTCAGGGGCACTCTAATATGAATTGCGGTACGAACAAGTTTGCTTACTTCATCATAAAATTCACCCAGCTTTTTGGTTTCGGCAAGCCTCTGTATGCGCTCGGCTTTGTCTTGCCACCACTTATCCTTTATATCCCTGTCTCTGTGTATCCAATGGAAATGGCGAGAGACAGGGACGTCCGTAGGCATCAGCAGGGCCATGAGTTTGTTTGCCCTTTCTTCTCATAAGGCTCAACCCCTTGGAAACGGGCAGCTGTGGATCGGCACAGGCCGATATCATAGATTTTGTATGAGCATATTTTTTTCTTTAATATTTTCCTTGCTATTTGACAAAACAGAGATTGTTGCTATTGTGTGTGTGTTGATCTACGACTTTACAGTCTACATAACGACGATTTCAAACATTTTTTTTTATGAAATAAAGATAATTTGGATTTGGTTACTGCTGTCACGGGAAAGAGGTGTAACAGCAGCAGCTAGAGCAGTCCGGGGTCGCATACCCGTAGTGATCCTATTAGTACAGTTTTCGGACAGATAACCAACAGGACCACTCTACTGCATATATATATCTATTTATCAAAATAGAAAGGTAATCCATATAGATATCATCATCACCATAGGCCTAATACAATCTATAAAATATTATACCTTTATGCTATTAATAATTCGTAAACGAAGATTTCCTTATTATCATCACTATTTAAGTTACAATACTGTTGACTGGGCTGTTGGTTTAGTAGTTTGTGATGCTGGTCATGGGTTCGAGTCCCACCCAGGATAAGTGTTTTATGATAAGCACGACCATTTGCTCTATCTGATTGTAATTTATATATGATATAAATTTAATATTTCATTACATACATATGTATTTAGAAATATTTAAATATGTTTATCAGCAGTCTGGTTACTATAGCACAGGTTTCGCTAAAATGTTAATCAAACGAAAGTGTGTGAGATGTGTCAGGAAATGTCAATATTGTTTTATTACTTTCAGTTATATTTTTTTCTATTCAGTGCTATAATATACTATACTATATAAGCCTTTATATTTATCATGGTTTGTTTTTAGAAACTTCGTTTTAGCTCTCATGCTGGTCGCATATTAATGTTATGATGAGACTTAATAATTTATTAAAACATGAAAGTAGATTGGGAGGATCATCTCAGCTTCAATCTTTGATTGGGCCGAAGCCAGAATGATAATGGAGTCAAAAGTATGTTTTGGGGACTCTTTTTAATTATTATTTTTTGCACCAAGACATCAGCAAAGGTTTTGAATGGATTTTAAAACAAAGTAAATAATTTCTTAACACTGTTAATCTCATGCCGGCCTAAACGTTGCCGGCAAATTTTAAAGTTAAGAAGTTCCTAATTTTAACAATTCATGATTTCAAAGGACTCTCAAAATATGAAATAGAAACTTACGTATCAGAGAATTCTATAGAACAATTTTTAACCTTTATGAAAGTTTGCCATTTCTACTAATTCACTAGGGCGGACAGTAGTAGACTTTGAATTTGAAAGGCCATGGAGAGTAGGTCCATTTCTAAACAAGGCTTTTATTCAATTTCCCTTACATTACTTCGTAATAAATAATTTCTTGTCTGCTTATAAAATGGCTTTCAGAGCTTTAAATCTTCTATATTTAAATAATATAATAATAATATAATAAATAATGATATGATGAGATGAAATAAAAATTACAGTTATCCTTTTCAACATCAAACAATAATTAAGTTAGTGTAAGCAAGAAGAAAGATATGATAAGATATGGGAATAGCAGAATTTATATAGAAGGTATGTACTCGTATATATATATAGATATATAAATATACGAGGTTTAAAGATAATGGTGAAATTTATGTACTATCTATTGTTTGACTGTTTTTAGAGTACTATGAAAATAAATAATTTGACGGACTTACATATCTCGAGTATTCTTGTCCGTCGGGATTGGTACACGGTAATATGACCCATCGGACATTTCTAAGCATATGGTCATACTCTTCGCAGGCAACTAGCTGTTCAATTATGAATAGCGCCATCATGACAGATTCTGAACCACCTTCCTGGCCTGCTTCTATGATAAATATTGGCTTGGGTTCATCTGTTCGTTCTCCCTTCGGAATGTTGCTGGGGGGAGCACCATGAGCTAAATGCACCTAAACACAAATCGTTTTAAAAATATTAATAACTGTTTAACGGTAGTTGATCGTTATTGTAATTTTTCAAACTTGTTATTCTATTTTAATATTATCTAGAACATTGACTGGTTTATTTGTCAGTTGATTATTCTTAAGTAAAAATTTTACTAATGTTAGTTATTTTCGTCCCATTTATTTTTTTAAACAAACCACGGTGAACCGCTGCCTGCCTATTATCCTGAGAGCGATAATCGCCATTACATTCCTTCGCTAAATGTTTTTTACACGTACAATGTAGTGAAACCTTAAAAAAAATCCGACGTCTCTATTAAAACGTGAAATAACTGCTATTCTTATGGATATCAAGTTGTTTACTTGCCTACATAATACACGTTAAAGTCAAATAGTTTCACATTTCACAGTCACACATTTTACGTCCAATGGAATTTGGTTTACAAAACCATAATGGATTCTACTAGTCTTTTATTCGTTATACTATTGCTTTTCTAGTATTACAATTAAAGGTATCACCTCATAAAGAGTTCTGCCCTCAAAGGTCATGTGATCGCCAAGAACATCGAACACATCGTAGCAATACTGTTTCAGAGCCTTCAGGAAAACTGTTAGCTGTGAACATTAATTTTATATCTTAAATAAAACGATTTAATTTTTAGTTATAGAGGTATAATTAAGTAAATATCATATACCCTATCTTAGTCTAAGCCTCGTGGTCTCAATCCCGTTTCCTCATATGAAATACAATGATATCGCTCTATCTGTGTTTTTCCTTCCTAGAATTTACCTATTGCCTTTGACTTGTCTGAGCTGTCTAATATAAAATTACATTTCCAAGGAAAGTTAGCGTCCTGCCAACGGCCGTACATAAGCGAAACCAACCAAAACCCTTTGCAGTGCTACACGGCGAATAAGCGTATGAGAATATCGAGGTGACAGAAATACATATATTCAATATTTTATTATTTAGTCAACTTTAACATTTAGTCATAGTCATTTATTCGCAATTTACATTTTACCTATTTGAAATATAATAATTAACAAAGTAACAATAGTAATAGTATTAATATATTGCCGAAGACTCGATACAAGCAGGCAATCGCCTGTCCTGTGGGTCCCACTTTTTGTAACCAACTTATTTATTTCGATGATCTCTGGTGGTACAATAGAAGATTTTTATAATTTAAAATGTAACAAACTTTTATTTTACAATTGTATACTATATTTGTATTTTTTTCTGAATGTTTTTAGGGTTCCGTACCTTAAAAGGTAAAAAAGGAACCCTTATAAGATCACTTTCTTGTCCGTCTGTCCGTGTGTCACCACCGATTTTCTCAGGAACGGGTAGACTTAGCAAGTTGAAATTTATACCAAATACTGAAGTTTACGATCTCTATTAGTTGTATAAAAATCAAGGTCCTGAGTCAACACGATAAAAAGATTTGGGCAAATTTTGATTTTCGCGAAAGCTTGTAAGTACCAAAGTTTACCTTAAGATAATTATGATACTTACAAATTTTCGCGAAAATCTACGTAAAATCTGGGTAGGTACGGAACCCTCGGCGCACGAGTTCAACTCGTACCTGACCAGTTTTTCTTTTCACCTTTCTCCTTGAAACAAGACAATTCTTGCTGTTGAATTCTGTTCTTAAATAATTTAATTTATTGAGTGTTTTATTCTTACTCTAACTAACGTAAAAAAAATAAAAGCACTAATCACAATTGATGTTGTAGTATCAAATTACGGGTACCGTGTATTCGTATATCAAGTGCAAGTTCCTTACCTCCCTTTAGGGTAAGAAAGAATCTTGATGATTTTCAAAGTGCACATTGTTTTTGAAATCATTTTTAAAAACACTCAAGTAGGTGACTTGAGTGTTCTCTAAGCTAAACAAACTAATTCAAAAGCGATCCAAGCGTTGTGTCAGATAGACACAAGACATGTTTATTGTTGTTTGTGGAAAGAAGAATTCGGGTTACGAGAAGTAGGACTAGAGTTATCAGTTCAGAGTGAGCAGTATGCTTGCTTGCTAACGAAGAGTATAAAAGTTCAAAGACATCTTCGTTTTAATTAAAATGTGCTTACCGTGCTCAAACCTATGGCTGCATCTTCTACACAGGGTACTTCATCCATGTCCAGTAGATCATTTAACATATCTTGATAGCAACGCCTCAGACTTTTGCAACTGAACATATTTTTTTATAAAAAAAAAATCATGATGAAAAAAGGAAGAAACTCTTAGGTTGATCACGTGCCGAAACTGGGCTTTTGAGTATAAATTTGATTTGTTAATTTAATTAAATTATGATTGATTCAGTCGGTGAATAAAAAAAACAAATTAGTGACTTTAAAAAGCATAACTGAATTCAATGCATCTATTCTAATGAATTGTAATAATCTTTATTCTATCTTCTTTCATTTTCACCCTTAGGGGTGTAATTTTTTCTCCAAATTTGAATGGAAATAAACGGGGAGAATACTTTTTTAAATAAGAAAGAATCTTCCAAATTGATTTATAAATGACGGAGTGAGGTAACAAACATAAAAGACATACAGTTAAGGACTTCCTTCTTTTTTGTAGTCAGTTAAAATGACATTCAACACTGTGTCGTATAGAAAAAATCTTGACTTACCCACATGTCAAACCCTCAATTTTGTAAATATTTACTATAAAAAATAATAAAAGATATTAGACATAGAAATGAGAATTTTGTAGAGAAACTATTTAAACGACATTAACACACCTATAAATACGAAGAGTACTAAACATGTATAACAATATTTTCTAGTAACTAAGTTGATCATATTGGACGTTTACGTTCGCAGGATATATATTATTGATAATCTAAGAAAATGCAGCAAAAGAAATAAAGTGAGCAATTTTATTAAAAAAGTAAAACGGTCTATGTTGAAATAAATAATAAAATAAATAATTCAATTTTAATATTTATTCCTATTCACAGTGAGTATAACTTATTTCACAACATCAGTCGTCATAAGATCTTTTTTTCCGATGTCTACCAAATTCGTTTTTAATCTGTGTACCAAATTCACGGAAACCTTCATAAAATTGTGGTAAGGTTCGTTGGAGAAGACTCTCCGGGAAGGAAAATTCAAAGCCATCAGTTAATTCCATAGTATAAGAGTATGGAATTCCAGCTGCACCAAAAGCGAAGTCATCGCTTCCACCAGCCGCTGCATACCACTTCCCTGCGCTCAAAACTTTAAATGGTTTTCCACCAGCACGCTGAACTTTCTCAGAAACTGCTTTCGCCAATCTATCTAATTTTTTCCATTCCGGTGGTAAGTATTGTCCAGTATAACCCCATGGATAAACCAAATATTGCCCGTAAGCATGTAGTGAGACATAAAGTTTGATTCGTTTTGCATTATCTATCATGATATGTTTGACAATTCGTGTCTCGGGCTCTGAGAAGGCGTTGGGTCCAGCGTAGGTCTCTTTGTGGCATGGATCATGAGATACTCCACTTACAGCCCACTTAAAGCCATAGTTGCGATTACCATCAACTCCATAACACTTGCCATTTTTTGATCGTGTTTTTCTCCACATACGGTTCTGAAACAAATTATATTTGATGCATGTGAAAGAATTACAGTTCCATATATGTACTTCGTATGCTGTCATTATGCCATGAGACAATAGGAAAGGAATCATAGAAGATCAACTTTTATGTGCATTTTCTTCATGTAGAAGTTTTTTCGGTCTTTAAGTGAAAGTACATAATTGAAATCTTATACTTCGTCGCAACTAAAATTTACGTTTACATATTATATAGGCTATAAATAATAGAACATACGTCCGTATTATTATATAAAAAAAGAAGCATACCTATACCCAAACATACTAATACACTTAAATAAATATATAAGTAATTTTTTTTTAGACTAATATTTATTTGTGCATACTTAAATTAGAGTAAGGATCACACTTAAAGTCTCCTTATATGTTTTGTTATTTTTTAGACTTACCAATTATATTTAAAAGTATTCATGACCATATACCGTGTAAGTACATATTAGATAACTCTTGAAAATCGATTTTTAAGCTATAATTGGACACTTTTATTTGTAATTTAGTAACAGTAGTCAAATGTTGACGTTCATTGTGACCTTCTTCAATTTTTTTTATCGAATACAAAGTTAATAACCATAGTTTAGATGGCCATATTACCAAATGGCAACCTGAGGCTTATCTGGTGCTAAAGCCAGGAGTTGGATAGATAGACACATCGATGGCTACTAGTAATTTATTTTAAGCACGCGATAAAAGCTATTTTAATCATTTTATTTTATTATTTTATATTATTAACAACGCACACATCTCACACACGGCCGTCTGATTCCAAACTTGGCAGAGCCAGTGCTATGGTAACCAGATTGCTGCTAAACATACTTACATATTTCTAAATACACAGAACACAAGACAAAATCACCATGTTCATCACACAATTATTTGTCCTGAGTAGGAATCGAATCCACGACCTCCGGCTCAGCAGACAGGGCCACTAACCACTAGACCAACAAGCCCGTCAACTAAAATGTTAAGTTTTTACCTCGAAAGATGTCAGTATAGAAAGATATTAAAATACTAACGCTTTTACTGGCGCGACTGTATTCGTAACCGTCAGGGTTTACCACAGGAAGGATGTACCAGTCTAAACCGTCCAGCTCGTGACCGGGCAACTTTGTCGTGGGATCACTCACTAAGCGGTGTATAAGGTATATTGCCATACTTGGTGCAACCCATTCTCTGCTGTGTACACCTGGAGGAGATTTAAAAAATCTACAGTGTCAAGACAAAAATATTTTCGGTAATTTAAACTAAATACAACTTGACTTAGCCTGAATAGTATTCATACAAATTTTGACTTTTATATAAATATAGTAGGCCAAAACCTCCGTCCTAAGGAGAGGCCTATGTCCAGCAGTGGACTGTTAAAGGCTGTTGGTGCATAATAATATTTTGACTTTTGCTATATATGATATTTTTTCCATGTTACTACTTTTACTATCCATTTTCTACCTCTTTATATTTCTACGTCCTACGTACCTGCGTCCACAAATATGACGGGGTTTCCGATACTAGGATTCGTCGATATCTTTACAAGTTGCATCCTCCGACCTTCGTAACTATTTCCCAGAGTCTCTAAAGTCACCAAGTTTGGATATCTTTGCGCCATCGTGTCTAGGTACTCTTGGATCTGATGAAAAATGATGAAAATCTTATTATTTTGAAAAAGTTTTATTAATCGAGAGACGTTGATGGCTGGAGAAGAATTACAATTAATATTTCCACTACATAATATCTTATAAGATAGTTATGAGTTTTAACTTTCATTCATAGTCCTCTGTCGAAAAGAACAAATGGTGCGGTATCCTGTACAAAAGATGAAGGTTGTATTTAACTACCAAGGTGGTCCTTAGCTAGGTTCTACCTTCAATTTGCATTAAAAGTACGAGAATGGATAAGTAACAAGTTTTCTATACTTACCATATGGAAGGAGTTATATTGGAATACGTTGAACTTTCGCAAGACTCTTCTTCTGGGCATACGTTCGTTGAGGTCTTCAAATGATCTAATTTAAGAAAATTAATTTAAGGAATACACTTTTAGTATTTTGGTTTACTTGTAATAAACAATTTGATCTGAGAACATCCAACGCTATTCTATTATTAACTCAAGTATTCACTAATAGAGAGTTATTAATAATTTGAGTGGCTTGTTGGGCTGGTAATCATGATTGCTGAGCCAGAGATCGTGGGTTTGATCCCCATCCAGGATAAAAAAAGTCTAATAAGCATGCTCAGTTGTTCTATATCTGGGTGTAATTTATCCTTATATATTTATAAAGGAATAAATGTATAAGTAAGTTGATAAAGCAGTCTAATTACCAGAGCACAGCTACCTAATTTGGGTTCAGACGGTCGGGTGTGAGATATGTCAAGATCTAATTATTTTATTTTTCGGAAGAATTGTTGTACCCAACAGTAGGCATTATACCAAAACATTATTGCTTGTCATTTCAATAAACAATTCCGTTTGTTAGAGGCGTCTCTTAAAGTCATTTAATGTTTTTTTTAATATGAATATGTTTAACTACATTTAAGACTGAGTACACAAAACAGAACTAACCTTCCATAGTTGGTCTTAACTTCAGCTAATAAACCTTTTTCCTTAGCGAAGTCTTCAACATAATGCATTCTATCAAATGGCACCAATACATCAAGCGTGTCATTGATCCCTCTGCTGCTCTTTAAAATTTCCACTTTATTTTCAGGATCATGGAAACTAGAGGCTGCTTCCAGTTGTTTAGTATTTGTAGGGAACAGACGCATTAAAGTATGGCTACAAAGAAAAAAAATGCATTTTAAAAGTGTGTAGTGGAAGGTTTTTAAACATTTATTATTTCAAATATTTGATGACAACTGTATCAACTATTGATACAAATACTTCCATACTTAGACGGGAGGATGACCAACATATCTGTTTTTGTAAAAAAAATTTTGGTCAAAACCATGGACGAATCTAGAAAGAATGTCTATTTAACATTTATATGGATATCAGATTATGATTTTCAAGCGTTAGTTACGATTTAATTAACCATGTTTTAACGTTAGAAAATGACTTTGTAAGTTTTGTCTACATTATAAGAATAGGAATCGCATTTGGACCCCTTCAGTGGTTTTGAACTTTAGCCCAAACAATAAGAATTAGAGAAGCTCCTCGGGATTTATTTTTATACTACTTAACATTTAAGGATAAATTAGTTCTCTACTATAATACACTTACTTGTCATAATTATTGCTGAAGCTTCCTTGATACAAAACCGTGAAAATACCTGAAATGAAACATGTAATTACAATACATGCATATTAATTGTACAACTGATGTTAAAATTCTAAATTTAATTGTTTCTAAACAGATTCTGTAAGAATATAAATCAAACATGCAGGTCTGGCACTAGGGTAATTTTTATCAAGGTTTTGTCAAAAGTCAAGTCTATGATACTGTAGTTACATAACATACATAATATTTTCTACGTCTGTTTTTATGTATTGAAGTTCACAGTTTTTCAGTAAGGATTTATAATTCATCTCCTTCCCATGGAACTTGTAGTACCTTTACAGATAGAAAGGTGTTTCTGTTTTCTGATAGTGTAGTACAGATTTAATATTTATAAATAATTATATCAGTAGCAATAGTCAAACTACGACTTACTCCTGACAGGGAAAACAGGGAACAAAGGTCTTCTGTGCGCACCATAGTAATATTTTCCATTTTATTAAAACGGTAACAACTACTAGATAGGCAAACCTTTTAGTGTTCAGAGCTTTTTAATCTTAAATCTGTCTTTAGCACAACGTTAATGTGTAGTACAATAGCAGTAGAAAGTTCAAAAGAAAATTAATTATTCGTTAAGGTTCTTTATTTCGCTATTCTTTTCGCTTCTTTTCATAGCTATTATTTTATAAAATTTTAAGTTATAATGCCTGTTTATATATGCATTAATACCTAACTTATTGGGTTCAAACTTAGCATTTAACTCAGTAACCTATACATACAAAAGCTCAAAATGGTAACTCATTGAAATATTTATAGAATATTTCAATGAGTTACCATTTTGAGCTTTTTTGCTCTACCATAAAGTCTGTCATATATACTATTAAAGATCTATCAACAATGAACTGACTAAATACTTTTGAAACTGTTTAATTTTTTTATCAAACTTATGATATATGTACGAGTATGAATAATGGGACCAGCATGAATAGGATATAATTAAAATCGGATAAATGTCTGTGTTTATTGTAATAAACACAGACATTTAGCCGATTTTAATTCACCTAGGCATATTCCTTCAAGGAATACAGGAGTAATATTATTTATTAAATAATACATAATATTACACGTATAATAAAGAGCGCGCTTATATGTATAGATAGAACATGTCATGTATATGAATGTGATCTTTTTGTACAAAACATAAAAATGCCATTGCCGTGTGCTGTGTGAAAATAGCCATTATTCAATTGTATAAATATACATCTGTGCTACACTTATTGAAAGGCTGCTGTTCACGACATTTTTATGACGGGGACCTACATCGACGATAAACAAGGGTGTTATAATTTAGTTTACAATGGACAATGAATTTCGTTTCAAACTGTATTTGTAAAAGGAGGATTTGAATTTTTAATTGTATGTTAAGAAATACATAATTGTAAACTCTAAATTTTTACCTAAACTAGCTTTGATCTGTTATAATCTTTTGGCAAAAAAGGAGCACTGTACGAGTATTTGCAAAGATCCAAAAGTTTTTTTATCGCTTTTTGTGGAGTTCTGTTAGTATGTTTTCAAAACTTCTTTAGAACTCACAATCTAAGCACAAAAATCATAAGTTAGAGGCCAGTTTATGCAAAGGAAAAAAAACGAATAAATTATTTAACTTTCTTGTTTTTCTTACTAGCAAGAGCTAAATCAAACACCTGCCTAAACCTCTAAATAAAGTAATGATATATAATAACAATAATCATAGTTTCCTGTTATTTACTAAACGATTGACGCGTTTATAAAAAACTTTCTCTTCGTCCAACGACGCGTGTCGACGCGGTACATCAGAGCGATTCCTTTATGACTTCCACTCTAAGAGTGCTTGCATATAGTTTGTATTTACCATCCGGTTTTGTTCCGTCATGTGATTAAGCTATCTGTCGTCGAAACCGGGACGAATAAAATAAGAAAACACGTGCAATTTAAATTGTGGCTGTTTTGACACAATGATACTAAAATTATTTCTAAAATAAAATAGTTAACAGGGAACATTTAGTACTCAAATTTTCTTCAGACACTTTACGCAAAATTCTTATGTAAAACGTGCAAATCAAAACCATATAAACTAAATGTTTAAATAAATATTTAGACATTGATGTTTTTAATACTAATAGGTGAGCAGCATTAAAGTAGTTGAGGTGAGCTTTAAGTTCTTTAAGAGCAACAATGTAATGTTTAGTGGTCGATCTGGGGGTCCTGATCCGGGTCCTCCCCAGAGTATGCCATCTGACGCCGGCCATTGAGGTACTATTTAGTGGAAACATTGCATACTCCTGACTCCAGCATCTCCAAGGAGCTGGCGATCGGTAGGAATTTTGCACCCAGTCACCAAAAAAAAAGGGGGTTACAATGTGAGGTCATATTAAGTATACACATATTTGCCCATAGTATAACGACTATTGTGGTATGCTATGTATAATCTGTATCTATAATATTCTATTTTTTATTATAGTCTTGCTTGTGTATAAAATTTTTATAATCAGCGATGCAATAACGGCAGAAGTTAAACTTGATTTAAATAACTTTTATGCAATAGCACTTGATAAATTACACTAAAAATTAAGATAAAGGATTAACTTTTCTATTTGGCTCTCATAATTTTTATCATGAAATTACCAAAAAAGTTAAAAAGACAACGTGTTTGTAATGTTGTTTGCACTGGCAAATTAAGAATACAGACGAAAAAAATGATCAAACATTCAAAGAATCAATCAAATCAAATAAATTAATCAAATAATTTAATCAAAATTTATTTCCCTTGATTGACTTAATTAACTGTTTTCCAACCTCTGTACTTAATTATGATTAATCTTAATATGATGTTCGAAATTTATTTTGAAAAAAGCCAAAGCAGACCGATAGTCATTAAAGATGTGTAAAAAAATTATATGCCTTAAAATTTAATAGCTAAACCATAAACACTTGGTACAAATCATTTATTGTTCTGATTATATACATCTATTTATACAGAGATTACAAAATGTACATTGTCACAAAAATGCAAATCCCCTCCGGAACCTAGCTAGCCAGCTGGCTAATTGGCTTTTCATTGTAGCTCTATTCTTGTTTTATATGTTGCTTTTCTTTATACATATCAAATTAAACAAACATAGACAAAAAACACTTAACCTAAACTACTGTTAACGAGCAAACTAATGCGATGTACATATAAATATATGGTTTGTACTCCAAGAAGCTTTTGACGTACCGGATTGCTGTGTAAGAGTGTACCGTCTTCCTAATTGTTCGGTCCCGCTATATTTGTGTCACGGCTCTCGGAGGGCAGATTATTTGCGTCGAATGATTCTTTAATTTGTGGCGACATTTATCGTATTTTCATTGGCTTCAAGTAATTGAGCTCTCTTTACAGCGATGTGATCCGGCTTCAGTTCTTAGACCAATTTCGTACCAATTGACATCATTACAGGCCTTTGATCGTTCAGAGCCCCAATCATTTTGATTTAATAAAATCGGAGTGTTTCCTATTGAAATTAGCCGCAATGGGCGTTACAAAATTAAACTTGATTTAAGAGAATTCTCTTTGATGATGTTAGTACTTATTGCGTTCATTTAACGTAGGTTACATTAAAAGAAGTCTTGATGAAAAACATTAATTTCATTTTCCGTGTACATGTTTACAATTTGTTTTTTCGAAGGAATAATCAAAATTGAAGTTGTTCTAGCAATTATAATGCACAACGATATATTATAAAAGTACACTGTTAACAGGCATGTTATAATTATTATCGGTGGAATGTTATAAGCTAGTTACAAGATCCTCCTAGAAATAAATATAAATCTATTCCGACGACATCAAAAAGGCATGGCAAGGCATGGATGGAAACACTATCCATGCCTTGCCTGGCATGTTACCCAAAACACGGAATACGTAATAGTCATTAGAAGACTCTTATAAATACTAATTGAGTTGAAGGTGTTCATAGGCGACGGTAGTTACTTACCACCTGAAGACCTGCTCGTTTTTTTTACCCCTTAAAAAATACACTTATGAATGCTGGTAATCTATTCGGGTATGAATGCTTTCAATCTGTACGCATATATTTATAGAAATCTCTGCTAAGTCTGTGAGATTGTAAGTAGCAATTCATCTATGCCTTTAACAATTATAAACGAATTATTGTATAACCAGTAAGAACAACAGGCTCCGCATCGAAGCTTCGATAGTTTTATTTTTTTAGGAATTGCATATATATTAATAGATCAGGTTAGCCAGATAGTTATGGACAACATGATCACGTATGTAACAGATATTAGACTTCACTTTTGAATTACACAACAAAGGAACATATTGAAAGCGGTAAAATGAAGTTCCATTTAAACAGTTTTCAAATTCATAATTCATTGTTCAATGATTGATCGTACATGAGTTAGCGTCATTGGTGTAACGGTGAAGATAAGAAATGCGGTAAATTATCCATTTCAGTTTGAACAGAAAACTTATTAATTAAATTTAAATGACACAAATCAACCGTAACAATCGGCACAATAAGAAAAACATTATTAAATCAGAAAGACATGCTTTGTAAATATGTGTGCACATTTTTAAACGCAAAAATAACTAGACCTATAAGACAAATTCTGGTGTTAAAATTAGATTGGTAAACTGCTGCAAGCGTATTTTGAAAAAGTGGATGTACAACTCTGATACACAAAGGTGTCCTTTTGCGTCAAGTTTTAAAATATTGGACTATAATATAATATATATAATATTGGACTGGATGAAGATATTCTGTGAGCAATGAACGAACGCGTTCGGTTGTAAAAATTGTAAATATATAGGTATATCTATAATCAGGAGATGCAGGAGCTTAAGTACATTTTTTTGTAATTCAAATCATAACCCTTACTGCACAAAAGCGAGCAGGAATAAAAAACAAGGTTTACCCTTTAAAAAATATGCACACCTAGTGAGACAAGAAACAAATCAAACAGATCTGAAATACACTCACAAATACACATACTATCTACCTCATAGAAAAGTATCCTATGGAGTAAAGCTCGAACTTCACTTGGTTCCTATTATCAAGTATTCCTATGATCAATTATCAAGTCAGATAATTTGTACAAGTCATGCAGATACATGCAAAAAATAATAATTACAATTCATTTATGTGAAGTATGATAAAAATGACTTCCATTATGTTGTCAATTCAAAACACTTGAAAGGAATTAAACAAAAATTAGAATAATGTCAATATATCGTAGTAGGGTAGTTTTCCTATGGTCAAAATATATTTTTTATCAGTAAAAAATTATATTAGTTACTGTTTGGAAGTGTTTCATTATGTTTTAAATGTTATGCCGAATATTAAAAGACATCAGTTTTCAATAGTTAGGTGTGACGCTATCATTTATAATTAATACCCTCAATTTTTTACAGTATGAACCGATTTGATATTGACGAGTGAGTGATTTGAATTGACTGTCAACTACCTTATTGAACGGTCTAATTTTGCTCTCATCTCCGTAGGCCTTATTGTATTCTTCGTCTATACCTATACTCTACCATTTCTACTGGTTAACATAACGAGGTAGATGAACGAATTCCATAGTGTCCTATCAATCGCCATCAACCGAAACATGGTCTTCCAATACTACCAACTTTACATAAGTACTTTTCCGGGATTAAGATCTGTATTTATTTATATCCACTTATATCTCTCCTTTTATATTTTACGTTGGAGGACTTCTTTGTACCCTGCTGCGCTTCGCTGTGCCACATTGTGATCGATTATGAGAAATACAGATGAAAAATGATAAATAAAATTAACATGTAAAACAATCTTTGAAGTTTGTTGTCTAAAAGCTCATTTATATAAATCATTAAAGAAACATATATTAATATATATATATATATATAATGCATATATAAAACGAATTTACTCGTATGTAGAAATTTTAAAACGGTATGAGTCTACAATATTAAAATAGTCTAAACAATACTACAATATTTTTTTAAATACTTGCCTGAAAGGTTTGGAAAATATTGCCTTAGAATGCGTTATTTTATGACACGTTAAATACATATTATATACTACTCTATCAGTGTAGAGATTATTTGTGTAGAGATGATGATTTGGTGCAAAATAAGGTAATGAAGAAGAGATATATTTGTATCATTATGTATTAAGTACGCTGTGATTCGTTTGTGTTTTAAGTCAAAATTTTTAATTAGTTTTAATTAATGTTTTTAAAAGTAAAGTTCCTAAAGAAAAGGAATCGTGTTGACTGAAAAATTATTCATTCATTGATTGATTATTTTCAGCTATTTTTTTAGGTTGCGGCATTTTATGAGTAATTACTGTGAAAAGAATCTTGGACTGGTCTTGAAATATCTTGAATCTATACTAATGTTATAAAGAGGTAAAGTCTGTGAGTTTGTATGTGCAGGGTAATCTCTGGTACTGCTGATCCGATTTTAGGAATTCTTTCACTATTAGAAAAGCATATTATTTCAGTTAGTATGGTGCTATTTACTACTTTTTATAATTTTATATTGCATCTTTGCAGAGCCGAGAGTGGATGGCTAGTACTTAATAACCGAAGACTAACCAGTACACATTAACATTTATCACATACGGACACTTACAATACACACTTGAACACTTTTATCAAATCTATTAAAGAAATATTATGTATTTGCTACATTTTCTGCGCTACCTGATTCGGCAAAAGAGCATGACGTTCAATACACTACACATCTGAGATTTACCTGGCTCATCTTTGTCTCAGATTTTACCAATTTTTTAGTACATCGTACAAAAAATTATAAAAAAAAAACAAAACATTATTGAAAATCGCACTCACCAAATCCAATTAATAATCTCGCCATACCAACAAATATGGTTACATAGATGTACAAAACTGTGAACTTTGATTAAAAAATTAAAACAGTCGCGTGATTTGAACGTCCGCCAGAGTGAGGCGCGTGCGCGCGTTCTTATTAGTTGGTGTTCACTGCGCATGCTTGCAGCCGTGCCGCCGTCGCTCTGGGCCGCAAGGGAATATTCAAACCGTAACGGTAAACATCAACCCTAATTAAGCGTGAACCAAGGACGACTGTAGCTACCGTAGATTGCCATAAAATTCATGATGGAGATAAGAAAATAACAATTTTCTTAACTGGAAAGCGAGAATAATCATAACTGTTAGAAATATCGTAAGTGTGTGTGCAAGAAAACGTATTCAATAAAAAGCTTACTTATATTACTAAAAAATATATAATAAGTATATAATGGAACAAATACATATATAAAATTGTTGTTGAACATATGTAACGATATCCTGTCATTTTATGATTATTGTGATTTAAAATTTAGTATGAAAATTGACTGTTTTTTATTTTCTGTTTCAATAATAATAATAATAATAAATAGTCTATTTTTAGTTAAATACAAAACAATGTTCTTCTTTATAGATAATATTATAGAAGGTTATCAGTGGATAAAATCAATCGCAAGTTATTTTTGTATTCAAATCTTTTGATTTCTTCTCATCTTCTTGCATAAGGTTAATATTATGTGTAAGCTTGCAATTCAGATATATTTACTCTCTACATACTTTGAACGTCATCATAACACGTCACCTTTATTAGTTTCTTACGTATTAGCATTTTAATTTAGGAGAAAGTAATTTGTACCATTCCGGTTTACGTTCGTATGACTAATCACGAAGTGTACTAATCAAGGCAGTTTTCCTCCAATTAAAAAATACACTGAGCTGTCTCGTGATTTTAAATGAAGTTTTAATTATATTGATTAAGCTATCCATATGAGAATGACACAAACTTTTGTCTTCCTCTTCGGGAGTCTTTCTTACGTATTTTTAAACTTAACACATTTTTTGTAGTTCAAATTGTAGATAATCAAAAGGCCAATATTGCAAGTGTTTATCGGCACCCATACTCGCTTAAAGTCGCTAAAACATGTATCATAGATAGTTATCTAACAGTTCTAGTTAGGATAAACAAGAATTTTAATAGGTCTATCTAGATATCTGTGACATCTGCATCAGATACAAATAAATGCAACGAATCAAACTCCACTTACAATACCTAACAACTATGTGTAGATAACTAAAATTAAAATAGTATGAAAAGTCACCCGACATTAAAATCTAGAATAATTCATAAAAATAGACAATCAACTAACACATGCGTTTATCAGTTAATTGCTTACAAGAGGACTGATGAACATATATTATAAAATCAACCAAGGTTCCAGAATTCCTGTTGCATTTATGGTCATAGTAATCACTTGCATTAAGTGGGCAAAGTGGTTATTCATCCTTAGAACGAGTTCTAACACCAAGTTTAATGAACCGGTGACTCTTGCCTGGGCTGCTTAGAGCCTCCTACACAATGTTAACGGAACCCATTGTCATACAACAATATAAACATCTGTCACTAAACATCAAATAAAAACTACTATATAATGTACCTAGGACTCTTGCTTAATCAATAAGTTAAACAGGTTTTAAAATAAAATAAAATATTCGTTAGGGAGAGGTACTGTTCAAAAAAGAAGTACGTACAAGTTACTATGTATACTATGAACAAAACTTAGGATTAATAGTTGTTATTTTTTTTTGTTCTATTTGTTCCTATTATTCTTTGAGACGAGGCAAATGTGCGCTGAAGTTGCTTGCTTGAGAATATACGAGGAGTGTGCTTGAACTATTAAAATTCCATATATTTTTCTACTCGTTATTCTAGTCTAAGCGATAAAATCTGATATCAGTCCTTCACTTGTACACTTTAGAATAGGCATTGGTAATGACGTTCTTTTTTGTATTGTTCCATGTTGTTAAAACATTTATATTCGCAACTTTTACTAAGACTTTTTTAGATAATTATGATTTTATGGAGATCATATACTTCTCTATATAAAATCACTTACATATATTATTACGATTAGTTGATCATTATCTATCTTATTATTTATCTTTTCTTATTTAAAAAAATTGATAGCGACATAATTTGCCTTCATGCTAAATTCTTTCTGATTTCTTTGATAATAATAAAAGTAATAATAAAAGCTAATTTGAAAGTTCCTCCTCCAATTCTCCTTAAACACTATTTAAACCTCTATTTTATGTAACTCGCATTAGGTGTCATTCTTAGTACTTGCATTTAAGCATCCGTGCACTCAGTCATTGACCCTATAAATTTTTAACAATAATTTGACAGGTCCAATAACAAAGGTCAACCAACTAATACAGGTTTCATGCAGGCACTTCACAAACATAATTTGTTGATGTCATTGACTTGCATTGTCATAAAGAGAAAAGGAAATTGAGCTCCGATTACGATTATCATCATACTGAATAATTACTATTGTACACTAAACATCCTAAGTTATTTATATTAGCATTCTGTTATGATCATGTCACGATCTAATCAAGTCAAACAGATCAAGTAAGCTAATAATTCACTTTTAATTTTACTGTAATAAAGTAGGTAGGTAAGGACATAATATATACCATTGACTGAGTTATATAGTTTAGTGAGTTACTAAAATGTCAAATCGTTTGTGTTTAGTAACGAAATAGTAATCACAACATTCGCCACGGCAAGAAGATAACTCACCCAGAGAGACTACATTGGGATCGCTAGTTGTTTAACAGGCGGAAATATTTATCGGTTACAGAGGTTACTTTTCTATAATTCAATCCTTAGTACTAAGAACACTGACACGGAACGAACTCCATGAGGTATTAGCCGGTTTGAGCCCGTTTAGCCCTGGTGTGGTGACGAGGAGATTTTCACACGTTTAGATAACGTTTGCTGGTGGCCTAGGAAACCTATAATTTTTGAAACGGGCGAGTAGAAATAGCTTAATAATAGAAATCTGCTAGTATTTAAGGTTATATATTTGTTTGTTATATTTTTCCTTCTGCTTATTGTAATCAAACAACAAATCCAGCCATAGCATAGCTTCCAAACTTTACCTCTTCAATTTTAGTCTTTCCAAAAGCACTAAAGTAATCTTCAATAATCTTTTAATTTCTTTTGTTAAAGCCTTACAAAAAAAACAAATAACTAGAAGAACTCCTAGTCTTAAAGTGGCTTATAATATAAAGTTTTTGTTTACTAGTATATTATATAACAACTATATTTTTAAGCGTCTTCTGCTTTCGCAGATCGCGGGGATTTAAAGGGAAAAATATTTTCTTGTTATAGGTAAGCAGACACTGAATTGTTTTACATTACAAAAATATGCTTTTACTGAGAACTGGTATCTCAATCTCACTAAAAAACACATGAGTTAACCCTATTTGATTTACCGTCATGGTAAATATCGTTATAAAGGGTGTGAATACAATACAGTGCAATATACTAACAATCAGTATATCTATCACAAGTAAACTTCTAAAAGAGCGTAAGTGAAAAAATATCTACTTAACAATGAATGAAATAGAAACAACAGTTTCACTGAAGGCTAAGCCAAAACTTTTGGAAATTATCGACATAAAGATTGCACTGTTTCTGTAACAATTTTTATATTTTAATACAATGTAAATATTTACTGTCTAAGCTAATCGTGGACTACTCCAAGGATTATTTTGAAGAGGACAAATCCACAAGCAATTAAATCACTCACACTGTGTGGCACAAGTAACTACTTACGCAGTACTACTCCTTTCGGAATATGCCGACAATTAGATCTAATGACCTCACTGATAATATTAATATTCAACCTTCTACTGTTACAACCCAGTAACCGCATACCTACAAAATGCATGAGAAAATAAATAACGATACTCGTATACAATCTTAGTCGTTATACTCGTTCCGTCACGCAATGTGCCGAATATCTGCGACGGCACTACGGCTTAAAACAAAAGTGAGTTCCCCTTTAGCAGTTCAAAACCATAAAAATGATGTGCTCACTTTCTTTATACATTCTCTCAAGAGTTTATTTGTATGCACAACCAGTTAGTGGTGACAACAGGCCTGACACACTTCCAAATGACCTCACGAGGAGACGACCATACAATCCACTCGATTGCATACATTACCGGCCATAAATACAACATCTACTCATTATTTCATAATATACCACCAGTGTATAGCACACACAACAATTTAATTGCTTACTTTGTTTACACTATAGCTGATGAGGCATAACTTACAAATACGAGAGAAAGTGTCACGTGTTTTGCTTAAATGGATTAAAGGCCTTGGGACAATACAAGATTTCTAATTTTAACGAATGAAAACGAACGTATTTTGTTTTTACTCATGTAAGTAATTTTGTTAAATTTTATACCACATAACAAAGCCTTATCGAAAGTTTAATATAGTTATTTTGATATCATTTTTAAATTTAATTTTAATTAAAATGAGCTGCAAGTAAGATTACTAAATTAATATACAGCTAAACAAAACTCGTTTCACCCAATATACCTCGAAAGTGTAACCACGATCACAAGCCATCGAACACCGTGTTCAAATGGTTTAAACTCTCGAATAAATGGTAAGATGTTTAAACTGATAATTTCTGATGTGTTTTAATGAAATGAAAAAAACTGATTTTTCTTTTATTTGGAAATACTATGATCAATTTTGAGTATTCTAATTCGGTTGCTTTTTTTTTGTTTTTGTTTTCTTTCCCTAATTATCGTTTTTTTGCATCGCCTTAATGTCTCTGTGCTAATTTAGTATTTTTTACTTTTGTTTACTTTGAAAGGAATCTAAACGGAGAACACAACAAGACTAACATGGAATGAAATGGACATGCCTACCACCATTTCATTCCACGCCAGGCCCAGACCTAGAATCAACCACTCAACCTCTGTCCTTTTTTACGAAAGTTTTTGCCTTACACAACCAACTTCTAGAACAAATTATTGCCTACGGTATTTCCGGCCTGATGCGACCTTCAAGTTTTCAAAAAAAGATTACCAGTGTCACCAGTTACTGGTAGGTAGGTAAAACGGTAACCGGTGACTCTTGAGATGCATGGATCTATGTGCAGCTTCACTTACCATCCCCGTTCGTTTGCTGCTTAAACAATAAAAAACGTGAAGGGAACAGCTGGGGACTAATATATACAATAGGTTAAACAATGGGTTATAATTATAAGATATTCACTAAAATACGGTGGAGAGGGGTGTATGGGCAAGATTACAATATAACCACTTGCTTTGATCAGCGAAGTAATCGCTTGCCATGAATTTATTTACCTATTTATTTGTAAATATTACAACAAGTTGGGTATGTACCAATGTAATTAAAATTCCGCCAACCATACCTACCAAGACAACTATTACGTTAAATATGTACGTAAGTATATTAAAAGTAAGCGTCGAGTTGCAAAGACAAACTTACCGCATCTAGAATATAACAAAAGGAGTCTTCATGTCAGTCAATCCCCGATACGAGTACAGTTCCTCTTCAAAACACGACCAAGCATCATTCATAGAAGCACATAAATATAAGTTTAATCGCCAAACATCATTAAAGTCTCTCAATTGACAATATCGTCTAGTTTACAACCACTACATAAGACGTCAAAATAATCGACAAGAATTAAATAAGCATCTGACCACACGTGTGTGTCATATTTGATTGGTTATGTTTCAATGACTATCTAACCCCCGTAGAGCTACAATTATTTTCAATTAGGTTTGAACTCCAAAGTTAATATGTCACACCGATTACTCTGTTAGATGGATTGTTGATGATGATTTCAATGATTAAAACCCTACGTATGTCTAATTCCTAGCTTAGTATTATATCTCATCTTTTTTGTTTTTTTTCTGACATCTATTTGTCATGAATGACATAATTGAAATCCCTACTTATAAAAAAAAACAAAAATACACACAATGTTATGTCTGTCTGTCTGTCGACTTCCTCGGTGGTGCAGTTGTAATGTATGCGACTGCTGTGCTGAGGTCTCTGGTTCGATGCTCGGGTCGGACCAAATGTTTGTAAGATCAGCAAATATTGTTTCGGAGTTTCGGTGTATTTAGTATTAAAAAAAGTAGAAAAGTATTGTGTCCGTCAATCAAGCTTTCATAGTACAAACTCTGCTCAGTTTAAAACTAGATGGCGTTGTGTCAGATGTCCGAAAATATTATTATGTTATTGGCTACCATTTGATGGATAGAGAAACACAGGTAATGAGAAGAGCTACAGTATAGGTACAGTATAAAAATAATCATGGGCTTTTGTTTTTCCTGATTAAAAAAAAAGGATTAAGATATTATAAACGGTAAACCTGTATTGTCTACTGTTAAATAAAATTAGACTTTCACTAGCTACTGCCCGCGGCTTCGCTCGTGTGATTATTTGTAATTTCATGTTTGTAACTTTGAAAATGACGAACTTCCGTTTAACCATTTATCCCTTATTCACATTTCCCCTTAGGGGTGCAAATTTAAAAAATCCTTTCTTAGTGGGTGCTTACAAATTAAAAAGCATCAGATGCCTAAATTTCAAGTTTTTATAGCCCCAGCGATTTACGCTCTGCGTTGATGAATCAGTCAGTTAGGGCAAATAATAATTTAATATCTATAGATAGATGAAAAGAAACCTTTAATGCAAAATTAAGTAAAACATAAAGTGTATTACAATACTGTTTTCATTTAGTTTAATCATTATTTTTGGTATTTACACCTTTCCATATATTTTTGAATACCACTGCAACAACCCGCCGCCAAATCTGATTCAACGATTCCTCTTGCAAGTTTTCGAATATTTGCATACAAAATTCCATAGCATAAGGAATACCGTATACCTGTCAAGCAACTATTAATTATTTTAAAGCTTTACTCAAAGTAGTGACTCCACACACTGCACGGATGGCGTAGTGGTTAAAGCGGTCGCCTCGCCGCTTTCTAGTGCGTTGAGTGTTGTGGGTTCGATCCCAACATGGAACAATAATTTGTGTGATCCACAAAGTGTCTGGGTTTTTGTTGTATATACAACCCCCCGCGGCACAGGATATATTGCTAATGCGGGACGTGTCTTTAAAAAAACTGCAAATACAGCCGACGCCATCTTTTACAAATAATCTAAACAATATCAAACAAAATTATAAGGTTTTATAGATCGCTATGCCCTAGGCCCGCTCTTACAGGAACAACAAACATAATTTTAAGAAGATAATTTGCTCTTAAAACAAAGATCTCAATCAGATATATATGTATACCCGTATAACTGAGGGCCGTGACCGAAGAGGCGGTGAGCTGTAGCGGCGTGTTTTTGGCGGTGTCATTAGACATCGCCAACGCTTTTAATAGTCTGCCATTCAGCTACATCAGAAAAGCACACCACTATCAAAGGGTGCCTGACATATTATCTAGAGGAGCGTACCGTTGTGTACGAGGACCGAGATTGTAATCTGAGGTGTCGGCCCATGTCGTGTGGTGTTCCCCAGGCTGGGTGTAATTTGTTACGCCGATGATACTTTGGTCACGGCACGAACTTTCGAAAGGCGACGCGCCGGGCCATCTAGGGAGTCTCTCTGATGGTCGGGCGCATTGAAGCGCTGGGCCCTAGATAGAACGGCGGCTCTCTTATTTCATGGACTAAGTCGTGGAACTCCCTCAATCGTTGTCAACTCGGTCCTCGCACCGGTTCAGGCCCAGATGAAGTATCTGTGCTTGATCCTTGACGGGAGGTAGCTCTTCGACGACTACTTCCGACAGCTTGCCCCAAAACTGGTCGGCACTGCGTCTGTCCTTGGGTGACTTTTGCCTAATCTGGGTGGATCCAGCGTCACTACGAGACGGCTGTATACGGGAGTTGTCCGGTCAATGGCACTGTACGGTGCACCGGTGTGAGCAGCGGTTCTGACCGCCCAGAATAGGACGTGCCTTTGGCGTCCTCAGAAGGTATTGGCGGTTTGAGCCATACGCGGTTACCGCACCGTGTCGACGAACGTGGCGTGGCGCCATATATGGGCAGACGACTGAGTTTCGGGCGGTTAGCGGCTGTCGGTCCCCGCCCGAAGAAGTACGCGAGTGGTATGGTTCGTTTGTCGTGCCGGCTGGAGGCTAAACGTGCTGGTTTTGTCGCCGTGGAGGCGCTCCAGCCGGTCATCGTCGAGGCGGCAGTTCCTTCCGACTAACACAGGTCCTTAGCGGGCATGGCTGCTTCGGTGATTACCTGAACTCGGTCTCTAGAAGGGATATGATTTCCGCCTGTCGCCACTCCGATTGCAGTGAGGACTCGGCTCAGCACATGCTGGCAATTTGCCTGGCTTCTGCGTCGCCGCGTCGGGTCCTCATTGTAGTCATTGGAGAGGATCTCTTGCTACCGGCCGTCATACGTTCTATGGCCGGTGGTGACAGTTGTTTAATAACGGTCGATCCTTCTGCGGCAGCGGAGGCGCATTTACCAGCGCCTCATGCCTTCCTGAGTGTGGCCGCGGGTGGCCGGGACGAGTTTGCCCCTCTACCTGACATAAGGGCCAGGCGCGAGAAGGCGACGTCCGCGTGTACCGGACGTCGCCTAAATAGAGAATTTACCCGAAGGAGTACCTACGCCATTGCAGGCAGGCGCTAGGAGGGGTCCGGATGTCTTAATAGCAGCAGTTCCCGCATCCCTTTTATACGCAGTACTCCTCTAAGCAGAGTGGCACACCGTGTGGTTTTAGTTGATCCGATTCCGACACACCACCACGCTGCAAACCCTGGTAGGGTGACGGCCCGAGAGGTTGGACACGGAAAAAAATTGGTCGGTTTCAAGTTTTCCTTCCATTTCCAGTGCTATTGCGTAGTTTGCTCCCTTAGTCGGCTCTTACGACTTATACTCCGTACGATTGTGGTGACACTCCGAGTTCTTAATCTATGGTTAATTTATTAAAAAATGTTAATCTGATATCTAGCTTCTATTAATATACAAAAAATAATCAAAACTATTCTTACTGATGAGGCATAATCAACGCTAGATCCCGTTACTATTCCATACCAGCTATGTAGGGTTTCTACCGCCACAGATATTATTTTAAAGGTTGCATTTTTCAAAGACTCCTCGAGCTCACCTTTTATATCTATATACTTATCATCATCCATTTGAGCAGTTGTATATCCTCGAGGATATAAAATGGCATCACCCTAAAATTTTAATGACAATAAACAATATTTACTTGAAAATGAATTCACTAGTGTCTTGGAAACTGATGACTGATCATGAGATAAAGGATCGAACAAACAACGAACATAGGCGCGAGTAAGAGTCTTTAAATCAATAAAGATTCTGAAAACACTTTTTTTTCTACATACAAAAAAAAATTAACAGTAAACATCTTTAGGCAAATGCCAGAAGATGTTTACTGTTATTTTATACTACTCATACGTGTCATATGGATTACAAACATTTAGTCACCATTTTTTTTTATTCTTGTAAAATCACATCAATAGTTGACGTGACTAATACTGATCTTTTTTTATCTAATTAAAAAAAACTGTTGGTGCTTACACCTTTTTCTTGTATTTGATAAAAGCCTGTATCCTTTACTTAGTCTGTATTTACCATTATAATTTCTTAATAATTATAAATGTCTGAATTTTCATAATATGACTGTAGTAATCTAATATATGATATCAATACCAAATTAATAAAATAAATATTAACACAACTCTTAAAAGCAACCATAGTTTTTACAAAATACATTTATAGATCGATCATACTTACTTTAAATATTGAGGCATCGTACGTTGAAGCGTGTACATGTATATATGCCACAATTTTTTGACTGTAAAGATGCAATATATCGCGTACAGCTCTTGTCTCTGGCTCAGAGAAAGGAGTAGGACCCGGGTAAAAATGGCTGCAGGGGCTTATTCCATGCGATGCATTCCATTCAACGTCAAAGTTCCGATCTAACATTACTCCATAACAACTGGATTGTGGTGACATATTCTTACTCCAAAAACTGCCATGGTGTGCCTGACATTGATAGTTAAAATAAAATCCATATATATTACTAAATTTGGGAAAAAATATTAGGAAACCCTGGGTTTTCCTAATTTTGAGCTATGCTAAACAAAAAAAATAACCCACAAAACTCTAATTAAGGTTTAAAGTATTGCCACGAATAAAATACTAAGAACACTTCCCATTCTAATAATGGACTCCAAGATCTTAATAGAGAATGTCGTCAGTAAAAATATTTTTCTGTGTTTTCTCATATTGCATGTATATACGCGATATATTTTAATAACATCATTTGAAACTTGTTTGACCATCTGGGTGGCTTAACCAGCTGCTGTAAGACATATGACTGCAACGTTAAAGATTGCATAAATGAGGATCATCATGAATATGATTACGAATATTGGTCACGGTTCCATATGGAATCAATGGTGCAAGAAGGGCTTAATTTGGCATAAGATAGCCGGATGATACGTCCGATAATATTATCAATATTATAATTAATTCCATACTCACATTCAAAACTGCTGTGAACCCATCAGGATTAGCGATGGGTATTACAAATATATCGAAGAATTGAAGATGAGTCGCGTAAAAAGACATCAGAGTTGCAAACTTAGCCTCGGAGTCCATCAAGACACCCATTCCCCTCACGGCAAGTCCGTGGACAATGAATATAATTTTTTTTTCCGGAGCTTCATCGGCATACTTGTGTACACGGAAATAATTGGTTTTATCTCTCTTAATCTCAGTTATTTTGAGCAGTATTATATTGTTGTATTCAGCAGTACGCCCTATAACTTCCATTGTTATGTTCATCTTGTCTTTCTGCTTATCCATAAATCGCATCATTTGTTCGTTAATCTAGAAAATCGATAACTCTCGTGATTTGTTCTATCAACATATATTATATTATTTTTCAAATAGGATTTACTTAAATAGTGCCACCAATCCATCGGATCTGTGAGAGCTTCGTGAAACCAACACTGAATATAATATGTCATACCCATGACCTATTAATAAGACAGTTAATGATGTGATCTTAGCCTGAGAGCAATTAAAAGTTTATTAATGTATAGAAGAATTCAATGATGTTTCAACCCTTAGGTGACTATTGGATGTAATCTGTAATTGCGTTTAAGTTCTGAGGAAAGGTTTTAATTAGCGTTTAGAAAGGTTTTGAACTTTTAACATGTTAGTCAACGCCTACTGCTCAATACACATACCTAGGGCAAATACTTACCGCGTACGGATTTAAACGATCGCTTCCAAAATGAGTATTCTTTTCATATGCGCTAAAAACAAATTTAAAATTTATTAAATTTCTACTCATATAGCAAAAAGATTTTTCACTACTGGTTGATATGACCACGACTAGGATTTCTTTAAAATTGCGGTGTGTCGGAATGGAAACGACTAAAACCACACGGTGTGCCACTTTACGCCTGATGTGGGAGGGCTCCGGGAACAGCGGCTACTAAGAAGTCCGGACCCCTCCTAGCGCCTGCCCGCAATATCGCGGCACCATCTTCGGCTCACTCTCCATTTAGGAGTCGTCCAGGCATACCTAGACATTGAATCGGGCAAACCCGTCTCGTCCACCTGCGGCCATGATATATACATAACGTGCTCTAATTATCACATCATCATCATCAACAGCCTTTTACAGTCCACTGCTGGACATAGGCCTCTCCTTAGACTTAGAAAGGAGGTTTTGGCCTAATATAGAACGCTGGCCAGACGGGTCGGTATAGGGTTTGCGTCAAGTTTTCCTTCTCTTTGCAGTGCTGTTGTCCTGCGTAATTTGCTCCCTTAGTCGGCTCTTACAATACCCACGGGATGAATAGAAGTGGTGACACTCTGTATTCTTAATCTGTCACCACACGGATTGCTCTAATTATGACTACACCTAATACTATAGGATATAACTAAAAATAGATTACGTTCACTCAGTTTATTCTGCTTTCAGTGAGCTAATGGTCCCATTTTTCATTATCATCATCATCAGCCTATCGCAGTCCAATGCTGGACATAGGCCTCTCCCATTTTTAATCATATATAATTATAACGACTGAGTTTTCATAAAAAATATCAAAAATTATAGTGACAATTTAATCAATCAATTTAAAATAAAAATAAAAAAACCTTACGGTGACTCATCATCCTCCTGCAATTCATACGCCGGATACATTTTCGTTATTCTATTAAAAATAAAATATTTATTACAAGACAAATTCTTTACGACTATACCCATTAGAAATAAAAACTCATCGTCAATATTATTTTATATCAGCGGCTAATTAATTTCTTAAGCAATAATTAAAAAAACAGTCCGTATGGCTAGTAGACGTCCCACTTCAATGATGATTCCAAACATTGGACACACATACACTCGTAAACAATTCATGCTTCCTCGAGTTAAAGCATTCTTAGTGCCGTTTCCTAATACGAGGCTTAAGGTACCTCTTACCCTAGCTACTCCATCTTGTATTTTGCTTAACACAAATCACATTATCGACCTGTCTAAAAACGATTATCATCCCAAAGACGTTTCTCATCAAGTACGTTGAAGTTAAAAAAAAGAAACTATTCACAACCCTTTGCTATATTTTGCACTATGTCTACCCTAAACTTGAATAATAGTTTCAAACTGATAAAATGTCTACGAGCGAATGGGAAGAATATGTATTCTACGTTATGATATTGATATTTTAATAACAATACTTATAATACGGACAATAAGATTGAACTCACAAGTCTGCTGTTAACTTTAATTTTCATTCCACTGGATTGTAATGGAACTGTCAATCTCTCTCTCTCTCAGTACACCAAAAAGGGATGGATCCCTTAGTTATTCAGTTATTTTTAACTTTGAAGCTCTTAAGTAACCGCAATTTTTATTTAATTCATAGAAGCGATAGTGTGCATAAATCGTTGACGGCTTGTGAACGATTTATGCACAAAGATTTTATTGCGCGAGTAATACAAGGTCTGCGCTCTAAGTATGGTGACTTTAAATAATTGATCATATGTCAGCATACGCATCAAAAATGAATTTCTAAAATGTCCCATGCTGTTAGGTGGCGTTTCAAAACGTGACATTGCAAATAAATAGTTCTTAGACTTAGTTCTGGTCAACGATGACTGTGTGGAACAATACAAAGGCATCTGGCGGCAGGTTGGGAAGTTGCATATACTCATCAGCGTGAGAACTTTTATCACGCGATACAGGATTAGTAGTTACTCAGTAGTTTGATGCATTTTCGTTAGACGGCACTGAAGTATGTTTTTGTTTCGTTGTATGTGGAAGTCACCACAATGATAATGTCATATTTTATTAAATTAGTGCCAATAATAATGATAGGAACTCACACTTTAATAATAATAATGATAGTAACTTCCTATTCATTATATCCATTATTATTTTATTACTGAATAAGAAAAGAAAATAAGAAAAAATACTATATATACCTAATAGAGGTTGACTGTTTAAAGCGATTCTTCTTTATTCGCACTTTTTCAGCAGAGTCGCGATATCTACTTGCCCTCACGGTCATTTTGGAGTTGTCACTTTGTATTCGTTGATGTCCCTTTTTTGCAATACCTTGATCTGTCTGTAATCTATAAAGAAGATTTAATGTTTATTTATTGTATAAGTTTCTCCAATTTGTCTTCTCAATTGACCTCCTTTTTAATTTATACAAATTAAAATGGAAGGTTTTTACTTTAATTTAAAAATCAAGAGGAGGTATATCAATTTTTTTTTTTATTTTATAAGAAAATTATCATAAACGTCTAACATGTAACAGAAAAATGTAATAATAAACAAAAGCATAACTAAATTCAGTTAACTGAGTAGGTAGGTATATAAAAAAGTAATGTAAATAATGTTAACGTACTACTATTTAGAAACAGAAAAGTTGCTAGAGATAGTGGCGTAGTCAGTCTTAAACTTAATAATTGTATACACACATATATATATGTAACACACACACACATACACTCACACACGCACACACACGCGCGCACACACTCACACACGCGCGCACACACACACACACACGCGCGCACACACACGCATGCATATATAAATATCCACGCTCAAAAACAGCATTGATAATATTACTGTGAATTCATTTTGGGGGGCCTGGAGCTCTAAAATACAGGCCTAGGCTTAGTTTGGACTCCAGATCTCCCACAAATTACCAATTAAGCTAAATAACTGTCAACTTAAATATTAAGATTTGTGTAATTTATGGAGATAAAATAAATAAATAAAAAAAAAAAACTTGCATTATCAGGTAAGTTTTAGAACTTAAACTATTCAAACGTACTTTAAATGGCGTAATTTCATCTGTGCTTCAATTATTAAATCTGCATTAAACCGAGTCATGCGTTTAGGAATTATAAAGTTACAGGCACACAATCCACAGCACCTCTTTTTGATTTCATGTAGAATTAAAAACACAACTAAGAACCTACTTTTCATCCTTTTCTTCTATCTGGTTGGGTCTAGACTCTGTCTTAATCTTCTTTTTTGGTTCTTCAGAATCTTCAGTTGTTTCTTGATCAGGTGTATTTTGGTCCTCGGTTTTATTATCACTGGTTTGATCAATGCGGTTGTGGGATTTATGGGGATGATATTTTGAAGCATTCGGCTGTTTTTCAATTAAAAAACGGTGTCTGAGAAAAAAAAACAGTTAAAAAATACCTACACTTGATTACAATACCCATAGTGTTTTATAAGAAAGAAAGAACCACAATGCTATCATTGTGGTTCTTCATGATTACGTCTTTATCGTCACAACAAGAAAATACAACACTACCTAACAACATGTAAACTCTAGAACGATGTGTCCTATAAAAACGAGCTGCATTGCGCGTACTCGTTACCGCCTCTGTTGCTGGTCGCTCGGAGTTTGGCCTCCCCAGGTATCTCACCTTTTTTTTTTTTTTTTTTTTTTTTTTTTTTTTTTTTTTTTTTTTTCCGTGCGGAAATCCCCTCGGATACCACCTGGCGGTGGCATGACGGACTCGAACCGACTAAAACCGCACGCCTTCGCCGGGTACTAATTGCCGGGGAACCAGGTATACCCTAGAAAGGAAGGCCCTGGTGCCCCGACATACCTCGGGTCATCTACAGACGAGTAGACGACCCCCGCCCCGTGTGGGAACCCCATGTTCCCTGTGCTCCCTGGAAGCGAGCGCGCTTCGCAACGCGCTCGCCGCCACCTCGGCCTGCTTCTGCTAGGGTGACAGATGGCCTCACCTGTCACCCCCAGGCCTGCGCTTATGGAGGACGGAGGTCGTTCTGCGACCTCCGGCGCCTGAGTCGCCTGCGCTGCCTGGCCCGTGCCCGGGCCTGGCGGGCCGGGAGAGTTCTAAACCTCTCCCGGTCCCGCTCCGCCGTCTCCTTCGCGAGCATAACTTGCTCGCAGAAGGAGACGGCAGAGTTCCACGCACTCTCGCTCCGCACGATAGCCGCAATCAGGCTATCGAGCGAGAGAACTCCCACTCCGATGGCCGCCACGAGGTCTCGCCTCTGCTCAACCCACGCTGGGCACTCTGCCAGCGTGTGGAGAGCCGTGTCCACGGTCTTGCCATTGCAGTGGTGGCACTCAGGCGTTGGCTCCTTGCGGATCAGACACAGGTGATCTCCGAAACATCCCTTCCCAGTGATCACCTGCGTCAATCGGTATGAGAGGGTCCCGTGACGCCTCTCGAGCCAATCCTCCATAACGGGTCTTACCGCCGCAATGACGGCGTGCCCAGCGCTCGGTTGCCCGAGTCGTTCCCTCCACTCCCCTATGATGACCTGGCGGAGTTGGGATTTCCGGTCATCGATTTCTCGAATCTCGGGGCATCGACCCAACTCCTGCGCCTCCTTGCGCCACTGATACAGTGCCGCAAGGGCTCTCGCCTCCAGGTCCCACGGTGGAGTTCCGGCCAGGAGACTCGCTGCCTCAAAGGAGATCGTGCGGTACCCCCTTATGATCCTGATGGCCAGCATTCGCTGCGGTCGTCGCAGTGTCGCGACGTTGCTGGCCTTCAGGGCCCCCGCCCATACCGGGCACCCGTAAAGGGCCATGGACCGCACAACCCCCGAGTAGAGTCTCCTGCAGGAGTCATCGGGTCCCTTCATGTTGGGCAGCAGCCGCGCCAACGCACGCGCTGCCCCAACCAACTTGGGCCAGGTATCTCACCTGGCTCGGGCTTGACCGCCGGGGACGGTGTGAAGACCAGCGCTGTACTCGGTCATTCTCGCTCAAGCCGTCGGGCTGTACGGATCTATGTACAACTGTTGGTGAGACCTTGGGATATATCTCTAACTGTATTTACTGTTGCTCTTATAAAGAAAAACCACGACAATCTATAGAATATATATATACTCGTACATATATATAGATATATACCAACCCAGACATCGGTCCCCCGTCATATATAATATTTAAGTGGGGCACGCAATTTTACTTGTCGGGAAACTTTATTATTGGCTAAGAGTCCATTGCAATGTTTAACTTCACCCATGATAAACGTAACATTGCTGTTAAGTTTCCAAATAAATAATAAAAAAAACAGTGGCACTTCAAGAGAGCCGACAGAAGTGAAAACTTGTTTTTTTTTTTAATTTTAACAGGCTCTCTATTCGTTTTTTTCTATTCCAAAAGTACCGACGTGAATATATATCTATGTTGTTCGTTCCGCATATGGAATACTGTTCTCGTCTCGAGTACGCATCATGCGTACTCGAGCCTGCATAAAGACGATCTCGGCTCGATCCCTTGGCGTTACGTAGAGATGTGGCTTCACTCTGCACTCTCTATCGCATATATCATGGAGAGTGCTCCGAGGAATTGTTCATTATCATCATCATCGTTCCACACTGCAAAATTTTCATCCCTATCACCTGGATAATTGGCGCTCCACTACTGTGCGCTTTTCGAGATACTTTTTGCCTCGCACAATCAATCTGTTGTGTATATTTTGCGGTATTTCCGGACCGATACGACCTTCAAACTTTCAAGAAAAGAGAGTACTCCTCCCTAAAAAGCCTGTAACGCGTTTGTGACTCCTTAGTTGCAGACGTTCATGGGCGGCGATGGTCACGTTCCATCAGGTGACCCGTCTGTTCGTCTGCCCGAGTATCATAATAAAAAAAAAAAACAAACTCAACTCTCGTGTCAACGGGGCAAATATATGTAGATACTTATATACCGAGGCGTCGGTAACAGTAACAGTGTCGCGAGTTCAGTGTTTTTTTTCCATCTCAAAAATACATTCTTATGTGTGTTGTTCAAAATTGCCCAACGCGCCTAAAGAAGTTTTCACTTAAAAAAACCGGTGTTAGCAATTCTTTCGCTGGTTTTTACCGAGTGAGTAAAGTGAGCCCAACCCTACTTAATTTTGGAGGGGAGGACGCAAGAGGCGGTGACGCACTTGTGACTTGCAGTTGCAGGTGTAATGGAATCCTCACACTTGAGTTTGCCCTCTTGTACCGTAAATGAAAAATATTTAGTAGTAGAATAACCTCAAAAATCTACAAGATCATTGCACTCGTATCTGAAAATTAACTCAGCGTTTAAGTTTAGACGAAAATGATAAATTAATGAAATTACTTGGGCTTTTCTCCTTCCTTTGTATGTTGTTTTGGTTGGCTTCTAAGGGATGGAGAATGATCTAAGGGCCTGTAGCTGCCACGAGAATCCGTTGAAATATGTTGCCTCAATCTCGCTCTATTGAATTCATCGTCTCTATTGACAGAAAATATTAAAATTAGATGTAAATTATAAAGTATACTGAAGATACAGTGCTACTTATTACTACTTACACGGTATTAGACCTGTTTAGCTCTTGTGGAGTTCTGAAACTCAATCTGGAACTTTTATCTTGTGTGTCATTAACTGCAAGTAAAATGTGTTTTTGATAAAAGTGTATTTGAGATATTTAGTGATAAACAAGCGTGTGCTTATTCGTATGATTCTAAATTTACGGAGTTTTTCCTTTCATTTTAGAGGTTAAGAAGCAGTAACTTCATCACTTATATGAATATATAATAGTATATAAAACACAATGTCTGAAAAAAATCTTAGTTCTGTTTGTATAACATAATAATAATGAATGAGGAGATCCGGCAGAGAACCAAGGTCACCGTCATTGCCTACTGGATTAGCAAGCAGAAGTGGCAGTGGGCTGGCCATATTAGCCGCAGAACCGAAAACCGTGGGCAAAAACGAGTTCTTGAGAGGAGACCGCGTCTCGGCAAACGTAATGTAGGACGCCGAAAGGCCATGTGGAGTGACGATTTGCGCAAGGAGCTGGATGCGAAAAGCTCAAAATCGAACTAAGTGGCATGCAATGGGAGAGGACTATGTCGAGCAGTGGAGCTGATGATGATAATGAACCCAATAATAGCACGTAAAGAAAGCATTTCTTTGGCATTTATAACAGTAGTGGTATTTTGATAGCGTTAATAACAGCAATTAGGAAAAGTTGTAAGTATCAAATTAGTCTGTTTTTGTCTAATTTTAATATATCAATGTTCAGGAAAAACATTTAATCATCATCAACAGCCTTTAATAGTCCACTGCTGGACATATGCCTCTCCCTAGAAACGACATTTTGGCCTACTATACCACACGGGGTTCGTATCAATTTTTCCTTCTTTGCAGAACTGTTATCCTGCGTAGTTTGCGCCCTAATCGGCTCTTACGACACCAGCATGATAACACTTCGTATTCTATATCCGTCGCCAAACAGATAACACAAATATACTATTTGTGTTATCTGTTTGGTTATTTACCTACTGCTAAAAATTATTTAATGTTATAAATTAGTAACATTTGTAAAAAAAGCCTGAAAAGCCAACGTAAATATCTATCTTTCTAATTCAAAAACTTTTCACCAAAAATTTAAGAACCCTAACAGAGTTATTAATTTGGTGACACTTTCGTATAAATAGCATCGCCTGTACAAATAATACTAAAAGAGAATTTGAAAAAATGTTACTCTCAATATCTTTACCTTCTAGAAACCTTCTAACAATGCGCCACATATTAGATTTTGCTCCACCTAAAAAAAAAAGTAAATATCACTTACACGTTTATCTTTAAAGTTGCAAACCAGACTGTAGAATGTGTGTAAATTTGAACGCCATATCAATTTACGAATGATGACGATAATAATGATAATATAAAAAATAAATAACATATTAAGAAAAATAACCATATCCTAGTTAATACTATATTTATTTTCTTATTTATATTTTTCGAACGACTGACACACAACGCGATTTAGTTTCAAACTAAGCAAACTTGTACTATGAAAGCTAGATTGGCTGATAGAATACTAATATACTTCTTTTAAACACCCAAACTCCGAAACCAATATTTGCAGATCATACAAATATTTGGTCCGACCCGGGAATCTCACCCAAGATCTCAGAACAGCAGTCGTATACGCTACCACTACACTACCAAGGTAGTCACGGAATCAATACTCGTATGTTATCTAGACTGTGACATTGCTATCTGAATGTCTTTCTTCTGTAAAGACATAGACATTCCGACTTAGGTAATTTTTTTATGGTCACCTGATAGTAAGTGACCATCGGCACCTGTGGACATGTGCAACTCAATAGTCACAAGTGAGTCCTCTTCTCCTGAACTAGGAAGGGGGAGTTTAGGCTCTGGTAACCCCGCTTACTCGGTGAAAAGAAACAGGAGAATCGCTTAACACACTAATAGAAATAGACATGGCTGCACGGATGGCGTAGTGGTTTTAACGGTCGCGACGCCGCTTGCTCCTACGCTGAGTGTTGTGGGTTCTATTCCCGCATGGGACGATACTTTGTGTGATGCGCAAATTGTCGCTCTGAGTCTGGGTGTTCTTTGTGTCTGTTTCATGTATGTTTGTAACACAGGCGCGTTAGTCCCGCGACACAGGATATATTCAAAGTTCGGGAATTGTCTTGTGCATACTAAAATTTGACGTGACGCGTGACAGTCAAATGCACTCATCAGAGAAGGTATCAACCCTATGAAGAATAGTTCAGCCAGCAGTCTTTGTGGTTGCTATCAATGTTTCGTAAAAAACAGCATGAAACGTGAAAAACAGCTGAATTTTTCGTTATTCATCAAGTGAAAGAGATGCAAATATAAAAGTAGAAAAACCCAAGGACCTGCCGGGAATTGGTGGCTTATTTAAAGCGTTATTATGTAGAACTCCCTGCTTTGACCAATGTTGATCTGGAATTACTGTGTTTTTAATTTTACAAATCAATGTTACGTAAAATCTTATCTTATATATCTCTTTTGGATGACAAATATTTTCATACCATTTTACCTCACCTACTAAGTGCCTATCAAGCCTTACAGTTCATTGCGTACCTGCGTCACTACTCCAAAATATACATAATATGGTTGTCACAATTAATTTCCAATGATTTCGCAATATTTTCACCATTTCTCAGTTTTCATGAACAAGTTAACAGTTTATCGATTTCACGCATCTGAAATATTCGCATGTGTGAGATCGATAAGCTATATTCATAACAAGTATTAATGTTTCAAACAAATTTATTTTTACTATAAAACATTCTTCATAAAAGACGTCAATTTATATACTTAGTTTCCTCTTTTTGTATTGAAATAATATGTGTTATATCTTTTTGAAAACATTTTACAAAAATGATTAAAGGTGGGTTTGGGTGTAAAAAATTACCTCAATGAGTATAAAGATTTTTTCGAACAATTATAATAAGCACAAGCTGACAGGAAGACAGGAGTCCAATTTATTCATTATTACAGAGACACAAACAACCATAAAATTATAACAGGTTTTTATTATGTTACTACCTGGTACCCGCGACTTCGTTCGCGTGGAATTTGAAAAGCGCTGCCTTGGTGGGTTTGATTCCCGGACCGGGCAAAACTTTAAGGGTTTTTCTGAAAGGAAAAATAGCCTAAGATACTCCTTATATAGACAGCTACCTGGTAGTAAAATATTATCAAAATCGGTCCAGCCGTTTAGAAGATTACCAGGAACAAAGAGACAGACAGACGGACAGACAAAAAAAAATAAGCTGGTTTTTAGGCATAGGTATCCTTCAAATAACCGTGTGAGCATTAATAATACTATTATTTTGGCATTACAAACCGACACTTCAAATTTTATTTATTTGTATAGATTATATATGCCTGTTGATTATCTATAATATTATGTATGGCACTTTTGCCAGGTCCATTTCTACTACTTTCGCGGATTAGATAGAGTAAACCTTTACCTTTCTCCACAATTAAATCAAACTTTTCTGTGTTTTCTCAGTGAGTGACAGACTTAGGCAAAAACTCTAATGATAGTATACTTTAACAAGCTAAATAACTTGTGTTGAAGTTTTTTTCTACTGGTTTGAATTTACGTGCTAAAGGAATACTTTTTCACTACTATTTCAGTACTGTGACAACGACTATGGAAAACATCGATTGAGTAATTAAAGGAAATTGTAACAAATTATCTTGCTTCTGACTTTACAATTCTAAGTTAGGATCAATACTATACACCTATGCATTTGTATCTATCATTTATCTCTTTTTTTACGTTCTCTGCATTTTTATCACTTGCCTTTTTTCTTTTTGATAGCGGCAATAAGTGCAAACATAATGTAGATCTGAGTGTTCCTATGTTACTAAAAATACATATAGGTGTGTTTATAAGCCTTCTAAAACCCTATGCATAATTTGTCTACTATCTCAAGAAATATTACGTTTACGCCTGATAGAGTCTGACATTTTCATGATAAACAATGAACCATTACCATTAACCATTAAACCAGAACATAGGTCTATTAAGTTAGAGTTTATTAAACTTTTTTGTAGACATGTTTTCTTTGATATAAATTGTAAACCGGACATGGGCTAAACAAAGAATGCCGATCGTAATTCGTTGACTTCAATGTTCTTATTTTATATCCTTAGTCAGTAACATTTAACTGTCATTGTTATACAAACAACGACAACAGACATCTTACGTCATATACTTAACCCGCAGTATACATTTTAAGTAAAAAGATATGTAACCTATCTATTCCTTTAATTATGATATTTTAACTATAGGACTTTATTGAAATAACTTTAAATTCATTTGTGAGATGTAGGTTTAATTCAAATCGTGATAAACTGTTCAGGTTCCGCAGCAGCCAAGACGTAATGACATTACAGGAGTTTAACCATGTTGGAATTATGGAATAACTATATAATTTTTATTTACTTGTAATATGTTTAGTTTAACGATAAACATCCTTCTTACCTTTGTCTACCATACTGGATAAACACACAAAATAAAATAAAGAAAACAAACCTTAAGATATTGCGAACTTCACATTTGGTCGTATATAATAGATCACTATCTTATATACTATTTTATTATAATACAAATAAATGAGTAAGGTGTAAAAGGATATTAAAAAAAGGAAGTAGTATATTTATTTTATTAAACTGAAACCGAATAAAGTAATTCATTCGTCCTCCTGGTTCTCTTCTACAATACCCACACTTTTCGCAAAGTATTTGAAAACAACATATATAATGCGTTCCCAAATCTGAGTCAAAGCTATGTAGTCAACAAACTCATTGTTGTCATAAGCAAAAAAGCCACTTTCATACAATTGCATTACAAACTCCATTGCAAAAGGAATTCCAAAAATCTGCAAAAATTAAAACGATAAGAAAAATTAATGACACCAAACAGAGAATGCCTGTTTTCAAACTGGTATCACTATGGTCCACTAGATAAAGAATGCAGAGTGAAATTACATCTCTACGCAACACCAATGGTTCAAGCCAATCGAAAATATTCTGCCAATCGACGATTGAAATGTGTAAAAATAAATAATTTTATAATGATGTTATTGGTCCAGTATGACTAGTTAGTTAAATACGGAAATACTTTCTTATTTGAATTAATGAAGAAATATTCCTCCGAGACTTTTTCCCAAACTAGGTTGGTTTGAGCTTTAAGTCTACGCGGAGCGACTGCCATCAGATCTCTACAACCCAAGTACTAGGCGCTATCGAAGTTCTGTAGAAAGACTGTGGTTGGAATTTTTAGGGCTCCAACTAGCCGTAAAGATTACCGAGAAGGCAACAGGGACCGACGGCTTAACTTGCTCTCCGAGGCACGGAGGGGTCTTAATGTCTTCATAATGGTCACACATTCATAGACTGGCCTGTCTGGGATTGCTTAACTTTGCAATGTGTTAACCTGGTTGGTTACCACTTAGCCACGAGCACCTGTAGTCGGCCTGAAGAATTAATTATTTAAGTAAGGATCACTTCATCACACATCAACAGCCTTTAATAGTCCCCTGGTGGACATAGGCCTCTCCTAACAAAAAAGGTTTTGGCCTACTATACAATTATAATTAACAAATTAAAACAATTGTTTTTCTTTACATGAGCAGCATAATCCACGCTGGAGCCGGTTACTCTTCCGTACCAATGATACAAATTATCCACAGTCACTGACATTACTCGAAATGATGCATTTCTCATCGCTTCTTCGATTTCACCTTTGATATCAAGGTACTTATCATCATCACCAGGAAGGTCTGTATATCCTCGAGGGTACAAAACTGCGTCTCCCTGGATTAATTATGATAGTAATAATAAGTTAAAATCTTTATTGACATGATTAAATAATTATATTAAAGTAGACATGAGTCCATTGGCCCGTAATAGAGACAATTTTACTAAAAGAATATTAAGTAAATGCATATACCTACGCAAAAGCTCCTATAATATACTACGCTAACTAAATAAAATAGAAAATTGGCTATATACATGTTAGAATCTTAGGTGATATCTAATGTCTTTATTACTAATTTTGTTTACGTATTTGTTACGGTTTCATATTTTGAGTACTTAATCAATCATCACGAAATGCTACATACATCTTGTTGCATGAAAACAAATAACGACATAGACTGCCTTTGATCCTGACTGTGCTTGTCAGGATCAAAGGCACTTGTGAGGGAAGCGATAAACAAAAGTTATTAATTAAACACAAGTTTAATTCAAGTTCAAACCACCAGTATAAATAATAAAAACTCCTTACTTTACCTTAAACGTGTGAGTATCGTATGTTCCCGCGTGAACATGAATGTAAGCAACAATCTTATGGCCATAATAATGTAATACATTAGATATAGCCTTCGTCTCTATTTCAGAGAATGGGTTAGGTCCAGGGTATGACTGACTACAAGAGCTTTGGTCGTGGCTATCGTTCCATGCTACGTCGAAATTCCTGTCCAATACTACTCCCCTGCAGTCAGATTGTGGAGACATGTTCTTGTTCCAATACTACTAAAAAATAACAAAGTTTAATTGTATATTATTAGTAAAAGTGCCCTATTTCCGTTCATTCGCGATAGTTGGCAGCCGCTAGGGGGTGTGTATAGTTATGGAACCCCTCTCTCTACGCAAGTTCCCTACTAAGTTCTACTGGGTTCTTTAGAGACATCAAACAACAAATTAAAATACTACATGTCTGGTGGATGGGTATTGACGTAATGTCGAAGATTAACTTATAAAAATATTGCCCACCTGTATCTTTATGTGTGTGTATTACTTTAAAAAGACGCTTATTTTCAACTTTTTTTTAAGTTTAAACTAAAGTAATTCGTAATTCCCAGAAAAATGCTATTCTGCTATTAAATCGTTGTCCCCCCATTTCTGGTAAGTATGAGTTAACAAATATCACGCACCTTGTTTTCGGATCTACTAGCTACGTAACCGTCCGGGTTAGCCATCGGTATTAGATATATATCAAACTTGTCTAAGTGATTCAAATAGTAACCCAAGAGTATTTTTAACATCTGCACCTCGGTAAGGCAACGTAATGACTTTAAGCCCATTACACTAAGCCCGTGGACTATAAATATTATCTTTTTTTCTAAATTATCATCATCATATTTGTGTGTATTTAAGGTTCGGAATTTTGTACTGGTTTCGTTTTTATTTGCAGATATTTTGAATAGCACAATCTCGTTAAATTCAACTGTTCGCCCTAATAATTCTGTTGTTACATTCGTGTTTTTAAATGCAGACAGGATTCGTGTCAGTTGTTGGGTAATCTGAAAATATAAACTTGTCATAAAAAAAAGTTAATTAAATGTAATTTTTCACGTAGACAACTAATGGTATGAATAATTAACAGATTAATATAAAACGATCTATGTCTAGGTGTTATTTAGGTACAATGTAAATGTTTTATGCATATCATTATTCCTCTCACACTGCATCCTACATTGCTCGTACCAAGAAAAAATGCAGAGACATTTTCAATTACAGTTACAGAATATGCGTGGGTATCTTATACGTATCTGATTGGATGCGAGAGGCACCGGAGAGACTTATATTTCAAGGTTAATTCCCCTGCTAACATACCCTTTTTTTTTCGGAAAATCCGCTCGGATACCACCTATCGGTGGCACGTCGGACTCGAACCGACTAAAACCGCACGCCGTCTCGGGTACTAATAGCCGGGGAACCAGGTATACCCTAGAAAGGAAGTCCCTGGTGCCCCGACATACCTCGGGCCATCTACAACAACAGGTAGACGACCCCCCCCCCGGTGAGGGAACCCCGTGTTCCCTCTGCTCCCTGGAAGCGAGCGCGATTCGCAACGCGCTCGCCGCCACCCCGGCCTGCTTCTGCTAGGGTGACAGATGGCCTCACCTGTCCTCCCCAGGCCTGCGCTTATGGAGGACGGAGGTCGTTCTGCGACCTCCGGCGCCTGAGTCGCCTGCGGTACCTGGCCCGTTCCCGGGCCTGGCGGGCCGGGAGAGTCCTAAACCTCTTCCGGTCCCGCTCCGCCGTCTCCTTCGCGAGCATAACTTGCTCGCAGAAGGAGACAGCAGAGTTCCACGCACTCTCGCTCCGCACGATAGCCGCAATCAGGCTATCGAGCGAGAGAACTCCCACTCCGATGGCCGCCACGAGGTCTCGCCTCTGCTCAACCTACGCCGGGCACTCTGCCAGCGTGTGGAGAGCAGTGTCCAGGGTCGGGCCATCGCAGTGGTGGCACTCAGGCGTTGGCTCCTTGCGGATCAGACACAGGTGATCCCCGAAACATCCTTTCCCAGTGATCACCTGCGTCAGTCGGTATGAGAGGGTCCCGTGGCGCCTCTCGAGCCAATTCTCCATAACGGGTCTCACCGCCGCGATGACGGCGTGCCCGTGCTAACATACCCTAATATATTTTTAATCTAAACATTACTTTTAAAAGTTTAACCCTTAATAAAAAGGGCATCACTTGTTAGTGTAAGTGATAAATTAGTTACCAAATAGTAAGTTTATTATTTTAATAACTCTTCGGAACTATTACTCACAGCATAAGGAGACAGGTCTTCCTCGGAGGACTCTTTTACATGCCCTGTTGTTGCCGGACGGCTTAAATCATTAATGAACCATTTAATAATTATTTTAAGCAGCTAACCAATAATTCATTACACAGGATGTAAGAGGTTGCCGAAAACTTAAATATTGTAATCGCCAGATATTTGTTTTATATATTTTTTGTTTCAAAATCATAACACTCTCGATCAGCTGTCTTGCTATATTATGCTGTATTCGCTGCACCTACGCGTGATTCGATTACTAAAGTATTAGAATAAGTCTTGAATACCGTTACTGAAATATCGTCCTGCAAAATAATTAACCGCACAACGTATGATTTTAGTGGTTTTGGAAAACCGGGTTAGCAGTACCCATTTAAACTTTAGAATGCTCAACGGTAATGGTTCAATAAAAGAAGATCATTAGGTTTTGAATTATTGAGCACCGAAAAACTATTAACCTGCAACTATTACACCTTTTTTTTTCCTGTGCCGACATCCCCTCGGATATCACCCACCGGTGAGGTGATTATGTCGGATTCAAACCGACTAATAACCGCACGCCGTCTCGGGTACTAAAAGAAATCCCTGGTACCCGTCCGACGTACCTCGGGCCATCCACGGCGTGTAGATGACCTTCTCCTGTGTGGGAACCCCGATCAGACACAGGTGAGCTCCGAAACAACCTTTGCCGGTGATCACCTGCGTCAGCCGGTTTGAGAGGGTTCCGTGACGCCTCTCGAGCCAATCCTTCATAACGGGTCTTACCGCCGCCATAACGGTGTGCAACGGGCTCGGTTGCCTAAGTCGTTCCTCCCACTCTTCTACGAGGATCTGGCGGAGCTGGGATTTCTGATCCTCAATTTTTTCGAGTGTCAGGCCTCAGACCCAACTCCCACGCCTCCTTGCGCCACCAATGCCACACAAAGCCGCAAGTGCTTTCGCCTCCAGGTCCCACGGTGGAGTTTCGGCCCGGAGACTGGCCACTCTTGCCGCACGCCGTCACTAGTGTATCATCCGCATAACACGTGACGGCGATACCATCCAGGAAGGCACCAGGCAAGCACACAGGAGCAGCCCTAACACCGACCCCTGCGGAACACCGCACAACATTTGACGCCTACCGAGACCGGTTCTACTTGGGTAGACGACGGCTTTCTCCGACATCTCCAAGGACATCACCAACACCACTTCGTCCCGGGAAACTGCTTCCTCCGCCAGAGATGTCACGCGCATGATCGCATCCACGGTGGAGAGTCCCTGACGGAAATCGTACTGGTTGTCCGCCAGATCCACCCACCCTGAAGAGGTGCTTGACGAGGTGCCGTGCAATCATTCTTTCGAGGAGTTTGCACACCTCGTCAAGCAACACTATGGGCCGGTAGGCGGATGGTGAATCCAGGTGATGAGGACCAGTTTCCCCGTCTTCCACAATTTAGGAAACTGATCTCGCTCAAGGCAAGCGCTAAAGAGCCCTCTCAGTAGGGGCTCGAGAGCCACATCATGTAGGGCCATGGCCCACGGTCGGCCTGAAATTCCATCGGGTCCCGGGCCGATGTTCTTGGCTTTAAGCCGTAGCACGCCACCCTTAGTTCCGCCCAAGTGACCTCGGGCACGTCATCGTCACCCATGTTAGGCGCCTCAAGCGCCGGAGGCGGAGCCATCTGTGGTTGAGAATACTCTACCACTCGCGATGAGAACAGAGAGCCGACGATCCCCTCAAACAGCTCTGGCTGAAGACACCGGGTCAGCGGCGGTGCCCATGGACGCATCTTGCCCCTAACCATACGGTAGAAGCGGCCCCACGGATGCCGCTCCAATGTCTCCAGCAGCTCGCGGTGGGCCTCACTCTTGGCTCGCTTTATCGCTACCTGAAGGGTCCTCTTGGCAACCCTGTATTCCGATAACAGCTCCGCCTCGGCGACGCCTTCTGCGGAACCTGGACCACTGGCGGCGCGTGGTCACGCAGGCAGGCGAATATATCGGTGATCCGAACCTTCCTCCTCCCCAACAACGATGTTCCAATCCTGGATACGACGCGCCAGCGAGGGGCACGCGTGCGATGTCCACGATAGAACTGCACCTCGCCGTCACGAATGTAGCCACGGCCCACGGTTTAGGACAACTAGGCCAAATCGTTCGGCCCAGTTCTCCAATGCCCTGCCCCTTGGATTCTTGTGCGGGGAACCCCAGGTCTCCGACCAGGCGTTGAAGTGCCCGAGCACAAAAACCGGGTGGAGGGTTGCATCTATTACACCTAAGAATATGTTATTCTAAATTCAAAACAAGTATCGTTTATGAAAACTGTAACACCGCCTTAGAACCTATAACCTGTATCTGATCTATGCTATGAGATTTTTATTTTATTTAAAAGCCATCTCTTAGTTTTTAAATGTGTCAAAATATATACTTACACAGTGTCAGGTTCTTTGTCCACAATCGTAGTGTCCTCAGCTTGGCGTTTAGTGTATCTAGAATAATATAATAAATTATAATATTTTAAATTTATATTAGATACTAGGTGTTTCCTACGGTTTACCTGCGTGTAAAGTCACTGCTTGATTCTTGTATATCGTAGCGCGATATTACATAATAATTCATGTTATTTTTGAGACAAAAATAGTCATTAGAATTTGACTAATGAGCACATTTTAAGCAAAGAAACTAAAAATAATAATACTCTAGATTGTGTAAATAATGTTGCCATACTTTGGGGTTGTATAGTTCTGCCTAGTGGATAAAACTTTGTATTGGGGACATTACACTAATGTTTCAAAGACAAAGTAAGTCAAGTCAATTATACACTCCTATTCCTATAAAACATTAAATCCTTTTGATTTTTGCTAGTAGGTACACTATAATGCACTGGAACTGTAAGAGTTTCGACTAAAAAGCTTTTAAACGTTTGAAATAGAATGAGGAAAATGAATTTTAGTGTCTTAGGAGAGA